GATAAAAATTAGCCTTATATAGTTTCCTGAGAATAAATAAATTTATTTACGAAAAATAATTTTGTCTCAGGTTATTTTTACACTTTTATTATTTTTTTTATTTCATGGACAATAACCTTATTCGCGATCACAACGCTCGAGTACGCCCTCTAGCGGGAGCCTGAAAATATCGGGCATTAATTCCATCATAACCTTTGGCAATGACGGGCGCAATTTTTTTAGCAGCAAAATTTCCCTAAGGAAAAGGTGGAACAACTTGAAAAAAACTAACGAGAACAATCCAAACATTGAAGCAGAACACGCCAATCATTTGAAGAACAATTTCTCAATAATTTTTACCTGTCTATTACCAACAACACAACTTCTGATTTCACGATCACTTGCTGTTACAGATGTGTATATTACGGCAAAATAATTTTTTCTGTCTTCAATTCACACATAATTATCACAAAACGTATGCGCTGTACCTCGTGAAACTATAACCTGTAACACTTAAGTTAGCGTTTTGCTTATGTTATCCAACGTTCTAAGATGCTGTAAGGAAAAATAAGTTGTCTGAATGTGAAACAAGAAAAACTTTATTTCATTAAGGGTAGATAAATTTGAAGGCGAGATAGTTAGGTAGATGAAGCGTGCTAAAACTGCCATTCACAATGATGCTCAGGAATGCTTTAAAAAAAAAAAGGAAAGCGATCCAGCAGAATAAAAAAATAAGAACCATGGTGGACAACCACTAGTTTTTCGACTTTCAACTAAAAAAAAAAAAAAAACTACACCCCATGCAATTCTTAAGCATTTCAACAAAAAAGTTTCAGACGTCACAATTTGAAAGAACCTAAGATCAAAGGGTAATTCAAAATTTATGAAAATAAAGAAAACATCTTGGGGCAAAAAAAGAGTTATCTCCAGGAACAATGAGTTGCTAATACTTCCATAACTTGAGGACGAAATTAATGCTTTAGTTGACAAATGCATTCATTGATGGTCAAGGGAACCTTCAGCCATGACGAATTGTATGATTCAGAGTGAATTTCTGGACATATGAACTCTGCACAACATTAATTTATGCATATCTTACCTCATACCATTTGGTCATTCATTAGCTGATCCTAACTGGATACATCAGACGGACAATGCTTCTAAATCCACTCACAAACGGTTCAAGATTATGTTTAGCCATAGCCAAAATCTGAAGTCCATGGAATACTTAAGGGGTATATTATGCTGCAAAGTTTAGGTAAATATTTAAGTTCTCACTAGTACATGAAATAGATGGCTATCGTAAGGGAATGAAACAATATCACAGCAATTAAAATTAAACACTTCGTGAATTCATTAAAAAATAGTGTTAGAACAAATTTAAAAAAAAAAAATTCTTCTCTTAATTTTTATATATTTAATGTTTTTAGACTGATATTATAATTTGTTTACAGTACATTTTCTATTTATATCCCAAATGTTTTTAAATTTCATCAGCATATATTATTTAAAATTATTTAACCTAATTATAAGAAATATGTTGGCCTATCTTATTGTGTGTACTGAAGTTGTGATTAAAATAGTTGTTTACATCGAAACTTTAAAGTGTACTTTTAACTTATAATACTACATAAAGAATAGCGAGGGCCTAACAAACTTAAGTATTTTCTTTGGAAGAGGAACACTTTTAGTTCATTTTCTAAAAGTGTGTGCAATTAATCAGTTGAGTCACATCAAAATAAAATCCATTTTCGATTTGACAGACAAAATTTACAGCTAAAATGCTATGTGTTTGTAATTTTCTCTTTTTTGTTATTATTTCTTCTTACCTGCCACTGCCTGCTTAATTGAGACAGATTAAAAATAAAACAATGTAATTTCATAATGACCACCCGAAATTTTAAAAATCCTTGTTAAAAGTGAAATCATTTAAGTATACACAAGTAGACGCAAAACAGTCAGTATAGAAAAACCCAACTTTATCTGCCCTCAAATGGATAATCCAAGAATACACAGAAGACTCATAAGTACAAATGTGTGACTAATACATGTACAGAAACAAGGCAAAAAACAAACCAAAAAAGAAATGCCTGAAAAAGAGCAGCAATGAAGGCTAAGTAAGAAAATTGAAAGATATCAAAACAAAATAGTCTTTGAAATTTCTAATAAATCGCCTTTCAATTCCTCTGACAATAAGCAGGCTTAGTTACATTCAAGCTTGCCTTTCATAGTAATGAATCATTGAATTTCATAGTAATTTTATTTTAGCATAACCTGTTCAAATATAATTTGCAAACTATAATGTGCATACTTTTTTTTAATTTTCTTTTTGGCAAGGCTTCTAAAAATAAATATTAAGCACTGATTTTGTGAATTAAGTTATTTGCTTAGAGAGAGATATCACCAGTTTTTAAATAGGGATCTTAATCTTAAGAATATTTACTTTCAGCAACAGCGAAATAAAAAATTATGTGGTCCTTGACTATCAAGATGAGCGTATAATTCAAGCCAAAGAATTACATAGATTGACTGCTCTCTTAATTATATATCTGTTATTAACTCTGTTATAAAAGCATAATTAATAGATTAATATAATCTGTTTATGATATTAGTCTGTTAATTATGCTTTTATGTGCTCTTATGGAAACTTTTTTTCTGTTGTATCTAATGCCACTTGCACAAGCGAATAGCCATTGGCCCAGCGAAATAAGTTCAGAAGGAGCGATTTTCATTGGACAAAAAAGTACTGAGGAAAAAGCAACTTTACTCAGAGCGCCCCTGGATAGATGGTACTCATTAGTTACAGGGTACCTGCTACATTTTAGATTTTCAAATTCATGATTTTCCATGACTAATTCCAGGGAATTTTTCATGACTTAACGAAGTTATTATTTTCTCTGACAAAAATAAACAATAAATTTAAAAAAGCTTTATAATAACATTAATTGAAATGATAGGTATAACCAAAACTGTTATACTCTGCATCTTCATATTTACAGATTTTAAAAAAACAGAGTAAAGAAAGAGTTGAAAAAGTAAAATAGCTGGAAAAAAAATACAGAAAGAATTATATTCTAAAGATACATTTCTTGTTCATCAGAAAGGAAAGAAATGCTCCTGATTTTTCTGTTCTCATTTCGGAATTTAAAAAAATCGCCAATGGCTGGTTTGCTTCTACTAGAATTTTAAATTGATAAAATTAAAAAAATCATAATAAAAATTCTTAAATCACATTAGTTTAAATGATAATTCGCTTTAGAAATGATGTTTTTTCTTTCATTTTTTAAAAGAACACCATAATTTTTAAAAAAACATGATAAAATCATTTCATATTCTAATAAAATATGACTGAGTGGTGATTTTGTTAGGAATTCAGATGTTTGGAAGAAGATGAAATTGGGGGAGGGGATTCCATTTTAAAAATTAGATTTTTCGGAGACCTAAATCCATGACTTTCCATGATTTTTTTTAAAAAAATAGCAAAAATCATGACATTTCTTGATAAATTTTGTTCAATACTGAAATTCATGACTTTCTAGGTGCGCGGATACCCTGTAGTTAGGTCACTCCCACAATTTAGACATAAACAGGGGTGATGGTGAGCCCCAAGTCAAAATTCCAGAAAATTTCCTGAGTTAAAAAAAAAAAAACTAGTTTAAATTGAAAAAAATTTAAACAAGGTTTTTTTTTCCTTTTTCTCAATATTTCTTACTTTACTTAAAATATATTTAAAATTTTACACATACCTATACCATTTACACATACCTATGATGACCTGGAGAAGCAATTAAAATTTACAAATATGTCTTTCTTTTTTGAGTTTATGATTATAACAACTATTTACTGATAAAAAATGAATATTAATCATGAATATATAATATGCTTATAAAGTATTTCTCTGGCTCTCCCTTACGAACAAATAAAATAAACTGTGTTTTTAAGTTCCACCTTTGAAAATTTGATTTCCGGAAACTTCTGCGATCAATGATTTTTTGAAACGTCTGGATCTCCGATATCCGGAAACTTCCGGATCACTGTTAGCGAAAAATCCGGATTTTCTCCGAAGCTCAATCAGCCCTGCATAAATCTGAATGGAAAGGAAATTTTCTTCAGATTTCTGTACCGCTCAGCAACCAACCACAAGACTACAGATTCCACAAGTATTCAAGGATTGAACTGCCACTCTTCCAGAACAAAGCTCTAACTACTGATGAGTAGCCACAACCTTTTTCTTTTGTTGCTATTACTAATATAGACTAAATAGTATTTCCATGAGGAAAATATACTTCAAAGAATTATAAATGTCTAAAACTAATTTTACAGTTAGTTTTGAATAGAATTGTATCATCATTCTGAGATTTTTTTCACCAAAATTATTTAAAATTAAAATAGTGGTTCAGGAGTATCTTATTACAAAAGCTTAAGTTCACAAGAACAAAATATTTTCGTTAATACAATGAAAAAGCTTTGGAAGAAATCTGCAAACACGAACAAAAATAATGCTAAAATACATTAAAAATATTAAACTGATATCACATCCATGCCTACACAATAAAAGATTTCTTATTATAAGTTCCTCTTAATCAATGACCCCTTTTAACAAAATACTTAAAATTAAATACTCGGCAGATGAATGGAAATTCTCTTATCTCAACGAATTCAATTCTCTTAACGTCATCATTATAAATACTTATTGAAAGATCAAATTTACGAAAGACTTGACAAATTTGAATTAATTTTGATTTATTAAGAAAAAAAAAGAGGAAAAGAAAAACATTTGATTTTTCTTTTTGTTAGCATGTTATTTCTTTTGCAAAAACTCAAATCTAAGCAATGAGAGTCAATTCAATTTCAGAAATATAGCACCAAGAATCAGTAACTCAATGTAAAATTATTTTTTCATTGTAACCATACATGATATGAACATTTGATAGATTTCTAAATAAGATAAAACTAGTAACAGTTTGATGCTCCATGAATATATTCCTTACATCTGCCGGAAGTTTAAAAAATCAACAGTGTGAAATTTATACACATTTATTATAACATAAGATTGTTTACAATGACTTCAATGCACTCATGACAATGTGTAAGATGCCGCTCAAAAGAGCATTTAATGAAATTGATCTAGAGGCATACTTAATAACAAAATATTTTGGTAATTAAAAAACTAATGGCAAAATATAAGTAAAATTGCAAAGAACTTCTAAAGTAATTGGGTTCAAATTCCAACATTTAATAGATAATAACAAAACGAAAAATTTAAAAACATATACAACAAAGCATATTTCATGATGTTATTAGATTTGAAGACTAAATACATCAAACATTGGAATTCAATAAACATACGATGTGAAAAGAAAAACATACATCTTTTAAGGTACAGTTAATTGTAGAAGGAATGAAGGCAATCCTCAAGTTAATTTAAAATCGACGTATCAAGTTAGGATTGAATTGGTCAACAGAAAAGTGAGCCCCCAAAGGATTTATTAAATCACTGTTAGGTGGTCCTCCAAACAAGTTCATTTGGTTTGGTGGATGTCTAATATTTGGTGGATGGCCCAAACCAGGTTGTCCACGATCTACAGCGCCCCATCGTTCTTGAGGAGGAGCTTGATCAACTCTACCCCAATTTTCAGGCGCTTTGTTAACAGGTGCCCATTGGGAATTAGGTAATGGAGCACCATTGCCAAATTTATTTTGATCTCTATCGGGTGCACTACCTTCCCAAGGATGTGGTCGTTCGAAATTTCTGCTTCTTTCATTAAAGCTATTTCTTTCCCCTCTTTCAAAACTTCGGTCTCTGTTTTGTTTGCCCTTCCAGTCACCTCTTCCTCTATCAGGTACATCTCGGGAGCCTCTTCCACGGTGAAAAGGTGATCTTTCATGCTCACGTTTGCTCTCTCTTCTAGAAGATGCATTAAAAGGAGGAGAAATAGCACCACTTTTAGATCTATCAAAATCACCCCTTCCTTCTCTAAAGCTTATACGCTCTCTTCCAAAATCTTCATAGCTGCAAAGCAAGGAGAAAAAAATTAGATTGAAAACATATCATACAAATAACATTAAACTTATGATCTAGTCATAGAAATAACTATGGTGACTCCTAAAGTTACAATTGCAAGGAAACACATACAGAAAAAAAAATCAAATTAAATATTATAATTTCATTAATAAAATCATACAGCTGTAATTAAAAAGTATAAATAATATTATTTAAAATGCATTTTGACATTATTTTGAACTTAGCAAGAACACAAAGATAAAATTTTCCTATTTTAAATTTCAAAGTTACACATTACAGAAAATCTTTTGACGTAATTTAAAAGTTCTACTTATTCTAATTAATAAAAATTACATAAGAAAATTAAAAAATAATGCCAAAAATAGTATTAATTTTGAAATTGTAAACAGCTACCCATAATATTATAAGAATCAAAACCATATTCATCAACCAAAAAAAAAAAGAAGTTTAGTTTGTATGAAAAATAGATACTTTCGAATCTGTTTTCTGCAATTTGGAAAAAGTGTAATGTGTTCTAATTAATGAGTATATTCAACACACATTATTTATTTGTGATGCTCGCAGTTCACAAATGAATTATGAACAATTAATAAAATATTTAACTAACGTGCTAATGGCTTCTACAGGAGAATCTCTTCGAGTATTAGAATGCCTTTTTCGGTCATCCCAAAAAGGATCAGTTTCTTTAAGTGGGCCATCAAAACTTCGTTTGATTCCTCTTCTTTCTTCAAGCCTTTAGAAGAGATGAAAGCAAGATATTAAAGCAATTATTGGTCAATTAAAGTACTCATTTTATTGAGAAAAAAAGAAAAGTGGTCTTACGTCATTTGTGTTCTCTTTCGCAATTCAGCCTTTTCCCTTTCCAAGCGCTCACGTTCAAGGCGTTGTTTTTCTCTTTCCAACCTAAGGACTTCTGCTCGCTCTCTTTCTAATTTTTCTCTCTCAACCCTACAATAATTATATTTTAGAAAGTTAGCAAGAAATGTGTTTCTATAACACATTTTGAACATTGCATTTTATATACACAAACTAGAAAAAAGAAAACATTTTAAGCTTTATAGATATAAAAAGTCAGTCTACTTTTTTTCAAGCTGAAGTAAAAAAATTACACAAAAAAAAAGGAAATTCTGTGATAGTATGTTTAAATTATTAAATAAACATAACCCAAAAAATTGGGTTAGAAAGCAAAACAGAGGAAAACCCAAAATTTGCCAAAAGGAAAATATTTCATGTAAAAGAAACGATATTCCAAAATTCACAAAAAGGGGTGATTTATTCATTATAAAAATGTAATCAAATATTTCCCATGAGAGACTCACACCTGAATATCATGATTCAATATCATGAAAAAATCTGAATACACTTGTTTTTTTGCAAACATTTTCAGCCAAAAAAGCTTTTTAATGACTATTTTGCAAAATATTTTTTGGTTGCCATCAAAAATCTCTTTTACCTAAATTCGGAAGAATTTAAAATACTTTTTTAAATTCCCAATTCTTAAAAACTTTTCTTGCATTTTTGTGGTTTTATGAATCATAACCACAAAAAATGCAAGAAAACATACACATAGAGAAAAGGATACTCAAAATATAAAATTGGGAAAAAAAACTTATTAATTTGATGAATAATATTTTTTTGAATAAAGAAACATATCACTATAAGGTAGTGATGATTGGGACGAGCAGTACAGGGTTGCCACTCAAATCTGGAAAAAAATTCCCTGTACATATTATACACAATATATTAAGAGGAAACAACAATTACTGTGCTCTTGTATGAGCTATATTGGTCTAACTATATTTATTAGTTTTAATTGCTGGAAAAATAGCTGAACATATTTAAATATCATGGTTCAATATCCCATAGATTATGCTTTGAGTGGTCACCATTTTTTAAAAGACAAAAATAAACAAAATTCCCTGTATTTTCCCAGTTCGTAAAGAAAAGAAAAAAATCCCTGCATTTTCCCTGTCAATTTAGGTTATTTTTAAATTCCCTGTATTTTCCAGGTTTTCCCTGTGGAGTGGAGTGGCAACCCTGCAGTATTATTATTAGAAGAGGTTGCATTGTCTAAAAATGTATTAGAAAAGATAACAGAAAAAAATTCAGAAAATGGTAAAAGTTAAGATATTGACTTTGCTATAAGTAAATATTTTTTTAAATGATACATGGTATTATTTAAATTAAGCAGCAATAAAAAAAGAGCTAAAAGTAAAAATGAAAATAAAGCAAAAAATATTTGTAAGGATTCTTAATCATATATATGATTAACTTAATTAGTCTAGAACAATTGTTTACTTAGATTGTATTTTTTAATTTTATACAAATTAGTGACCTGTTTAATAATTCTTAAGTTATCACAAATAATTACTACTTTTCTAACTTATCTTCAAAAGCTTTGTAAACAAACAACAGCAATTAAAACCATACAACTTATTTACAAATGTATTAACAACAAATGTATCAACAACCTTAAACGTTCTCTCTCTCTTTCTAATCGAATTGATTCTTCCCTGTTTTGTCGTTCAATTTCTCTTTGCCTAATAACATCAGAAAATCTTCTGTCACGTTCCCGAGATCTTTCACGCTCCCTGAATCTATTCTCCTAAAATTAGAAATATATTACTTATTGCATTATAATAGCATAGCTACAGTCAATTGGTTGCAATACATATAAATACTTATTAAAAAATATATTTGGATTCATCAAACAAGTGATTTTAAATGTTACTTTTTTTTCTACTGAAAATAATGTATTAAAGCCAATAATTGTTTCTTAACAGGTGCTATATGATCAGAAATTACAGCACCAAAAATCTAAAACAGAAAAACAAAAAAAATACTTCAGTAACTAGACTCCATATTTCCCTTCCTAATTAAGGTTTTTAAATTGTTTTTATTTGGTACTTATTTAAGTCTAATTATTAATCCCATCTCGGAAAATATCATGTTTGTTGCAATTCAAGTACATTCGAAAAATTTAATTGTGATGCTACCACCAATAGTCAAATTTTGATAACTTAATGACAAATTTTGCTTTTGTTATATTTAACTACATGTAAAATTGTAATGAAGCAAAAGTTTTTATTAAAGAAGTTCAATTTTTAAAAATAATTCAAGAACTGAGACACATAAAAAATTCACAAAATATCAATGGATAATAAAAATAAATAAGTAGAACAGTTTTAATATTATTGAAACAGTTTTTAAACAGAAAAAATAAATAAAACTGAACAATTTTAAAATTACATAGAATTACTGATGTTCAAAATATAAAAGCTTGACTCAGACACAAAGTTATCAAAGGACAAGTAATACTTTTTTGTTAAACATTAAATATAAAGAAATATGCATAACTTCACATTTTATTTGAGTTATAAAGAATAAAGTGGCACTCAAAATTGTTTAATCTTTTCTGAACCTAGGAATAATTTTAAATATGGAAGAGTTAACTTATTTAGATACCAGATATTTAAACTCAGAGAACATTTATATTGTAACAACTTTCTTTTACCTTTGATAAAAATAATGATCTGCAGTCAACATGAACAAAACCGGGGACATATTCTGCGTTAGAACTTGTTATTAAATATAACGTAATGATTATAATAATATCTATTATTTACAAATTACATTATCTATTAATTATATTACTAGTAGTTACTTTTTGGTTGTATGGTAGATTTACAAGCCAATATTTAAAAAATCAAAGTATATTATTCTCTCTCAGGAAAACTAAATACCACAAATTAAATCAACTCACAAAAGTGCGCGAATTTCCAAAGGGTCTTCTTCCACCAAAACCTCTATTAAAACCTCCCCTGAAAAAGGTACCACGTCCTCCTCTAAATCTTTCACGGCTTCTAGATCTTGTCCTTGTTCTTCTTTCTCGGCGTCTCCTCTCTCTTGATCTATCTCTTAATCTGTGATCTCTTTCTTTTGATGGTGTTCTTTTTTTGCCATCTTTCAAATAAAGAGAACAGGATACATAAAAATAATTTCAATTGATCTATAATCAAACTAACAAACTATATGCTTTTTTTTAAAAAGTAAAATTGTTAAATTTTACCTTCTTTTTTATCATTTTTCTCCACACTCTTCGATTTGTCTGACTTAGGTTTCTCAGCTGACTTAGTTTTCTCAGATTTTTTGTCTGTAGTTTTTGAATCTTTACTAGCTGATTTAGTAGAGTCAGATTCCTTTTTATCTGAAAAAAATTATTAAAGTCACTTTATATATTATTTAAATTAATAAGAATTTTTAATAAATAGTAACAAATTAACAAAACCAATAAATGCTTAGTTGACATCAAATAGATTTGAATTTAGAGATGTGTTATTTGAAGTAACTCATGCAACTTTCAACATTTCTGTAATTAATTCAGATGATTAAGAACCTTGGAAAAGAGTTAGGTCTAAAATAAAATGTCACTAAATACATATGTAAGCTTTTTCAAACTATGTTAGACCAACTTAGAATTGCAAAGAAAAGTTTTTTTGCTTCTTAATATTAACAAGTGTACTTCAACACTATTTTAGATCACACTAAAAGTGTAGAAATAAAATATCTTCCCTAAAAACTTGAGAATCCCTTGGTTTGTTGCAGGATGCCTAAATTTTCAAAGATCGAGAAAAGGCTACAAACTTGAGAAGCTTTTTATCTAGTGAAGATTAACTACAAGGCAACCATGAAGATAAACTGCAGCAATCATTTGCAATTTTAACAAATTTTGTAAAATTTAATTATTCATTTTTTTACTAGCTTGATATTTTTGGCTTTTTTTTCAGATATTTTTATTTATTTTATATTCTATACAACTAAACATAAAATAAATTCTTATTTACATGTTAAGGAATAAATATTCAGCATAACTAATTATTGTAATTTAAATTAGTGACAGTGGAACAGAAAATTTGCATGACAAAATTTAATGATTTGACACTGATTGATCAAATGATGATCCAACGTACCTTCACTTTTCTTTGTTTCGGACTTCTTTTGAGCTGCTTTGCTCTGAATTGCTTTAAGCTCTGTTCTTTTAATGGAGCCAGTAGGTTCCCTTGTAGTCTGCAAAATTAATTATTTTCAGTTAAATTTACTTAAAGAAATTTTTTCAAGGATTTGAAATAAAGAAGAATCTTGATAAAATTAATTTTTTTGAAAAGATCTCTCTCTTTAAAAGTCTCATAACTATCCTAGAGTCTAACTATCTGAGAAAATTTTCAAAATTACATTTTGTAAAAAGAAAACCATAAACCAGAAGGGGCAACATTAAATATTCTATATTCCAGTAAAGAGAAAAATATTTATTTTTAACAATACTACAAAACAATACCAAGGAGAATTTTAAAAAAAAACAAGGAAATGCACAATGACAGTGCACATTAAATGAACAATGACAGTGAACATTAACATAGACCTAATCATGTCCAGAATTTTTTGGACTGTGACAGAATTAGGTGAAAGTATTGGCACACAAATCTAAAGACCTGAATTTGATAGAGGGTGTCAGGGGTATTAGTGACACAAGGTGAAAAACGCTGGAAATTTTATGTCAAAAAATTTATACAGGGTATCTGCTACATTTTAGATTCTTAAATTCATGACTTTTCGTGATTTTCCATGACTAATTCCAAGAATTTTTCATGACTTAACGAAGTTGCTATTTTCTCCAACAAAAACGCAACAATAAATTAAAAAAAGCATTATAATAACATTATTCGAAATAGGTATAACCAAAACTATTATACTCTTCATCTTCATATTAGTGATTTGAAACTTAAAAAACAGAGTAAGGAAAGAGTTGAAACAATAAAATAGCTGAAAAAAATATGAGAGCAAAAAAAAAATATTTTTCTGCAGAATTATATTCTAAAGATACTTTTCTTGGTCATCATAAAGGAAAGAAATACTCCTGATTTTTCTGTCATTTCGGAATTAAAAAAATTCGCCAATAACTGGTTTGTTTCAACTAGAATTTTAAATTGATAAAATTAAAAAAATAATAATAATAAAAATTCTTAAATCACAGAAGAGAGTTTAAAGGATAATTCGCTCTAAAAATATTTTGTATTATTGTGTATTAATGTATTATTTTCAAAAAATGTATTATTTTTCATTACTCTTCCTCTTGCGTACAAAAAAAAATTAGTAAGCTTCAGCTGATGAGCAATCCTCAACATCAGATATGAAAACAGTTCTCGGCTCTCAGATAATTTTTTCTGAATTTCCGTTATTTCGCTTTTTAAACCTGTCTAACCTTCCACTCGAACACATAAAAGTAGTCTCATAAAATCGCTTAGCAAATTCACCAACATTGATCCCGATACTGGATTCGATTGGTGAACCACTTCTGTAATGCTTCTTCATTCTTGTCATCTGCTTTTCTCAACCATCTAAAATTTTTTCATGAGCAGAAATTATTAATTACCTACTTTTCCATATGTTACAAACTGCAGATTTTGATAGTTCCCTGCTAATATCACCTTGATTGCATCCATTTTCAATTTTTCTGATTATGTCCATTTTATCATCAATGGAGAACGTTTTACGTTTACTGCTCGCCGTAGTTAAATTTGAGAATTTTGTTTGCAGGATTTTTTAAACTGAACTGAGAGAAAAAAGGAGTTGAAATGAGGGCCTTATCAACACATATTAGTGTCCAACCCTTTGACCAATAATGAATAATTACTCACTCCCTCTGACAGAAAATGCATATTGATCCCACTGACATCTTACAGGTGCATCAACTGCCTGGGTTGGAAACATCTGCTTGGTTTGTTTAGGGATGGGAAAGTGAGATAAAAGCAAACAAGAATAATGCTTATCGCTACATTCCTCTCTACAGATTTTAAAAATTGGTATATGTATTTATTTTGAAGTAAAAATTTCAAAATTATTACAAAAAAAAAAGTCAGCAGAAGACAGAAAAAAGTTCATTACATCCAACTTCCTCACTTTTTTGGTTCACTATACCCACAAAAAATAACATATGTGTATAGCAAGGCACGGGATCGAACATTTCGTTCACTTTAGGCGGGAGTTCACTATAAACCACGTTCTGAATTAAGATATCAATATCATACATGTTTTGCACTTAACATAATTTCTTGAAATAAGACTTACAATTAAATTACCCATCAATGATGAATTATAATTAAACTACCACTTCAACAGTAAATAATTTAAGAAAAATCTCAGCTGTCACAAGAAATATGATGTATGAATTTTAAAATCTTGTGAATGGGAATCCCAAATATTGGATTTTAAAAACACGTGAATACGAATCACAATGCGTAGCTTTTAAATCATGAAAAAATACGAGAAAGATGTTTGATATTACAAAAGGGTGAATACAAATCACAATATGAATTGTGACATTAGATTTTAAATTCGTGTGAATATGAATCGCGTTACTGGATTTTAAATACATATGAAGACAAATTGCAAAATTAATTTTAAAATCACATGAATAAGAGTCACGATGTAAGATTTTTAAAACACGTAAATATGAATCACAATATGTAACTTTTAAATTAGATAAATACGATGGTAAGATTAAGTAAGTCGATGTTTGATATTCAAATGTAAATTATATTCACAAAATACTAGGAAAAAAAAGAAATAAAAAAGATCATACGCGATTATTTTTGCATTTGAATACACATTTTCTCCGTTGCAAAACCTGAGAAATAAATTTTTTTTGCACCGCTGGTATGTTAAATTTCACAGAAACGAAGAAATTAGTTTGTTTCTTAACAAAAGAAAAGCATTTTAAACCTATATAGAATTTTTACAAAAATTTTCCTCAAAAAAATGACAACTAATATATGTTTTAGTTTGCGGGCCACAAAAAAAGGCTCCGCAGGGCCACCAGTTGGTAACCACTGGTCTAGATAAATGCAGAATTCCACAATATTTCCTAGAAAGATCATACACCATGTTCTTAATTTTTAGACCCGGAAGGATAATATGAAAAACCTGGAATTATGACTTTGAATATTTGGCAATATGCAAAGTTGGTGCCACTAATTTGCATTAGCAATGCAACTATGGGAGAGACAAATCTCTTATTAGAACTTATTTTTTGTAATGTTCCTACGACTATCTTTCTCATAAAACTGTGATGTACTTTACCACATTTTCTTAAGAGCTGTTTAGTGCACAACATTAAAGTTTCTGTGTTATTCAATTTTCTAATTGGATACACAAAATAAATATTTCCTTAAAATTTAGTCTTATTTTCTTAGCATTTAGCAACTTCTTCACTATAGAAAAAAAGTAAAGAAAAAATATAATAGAATTTTTTTTTTTTTTTAAAAAGAGATGACAACATTTTTAAACTGTAAAAAAATAATAAAAATGACAATGATTTTTAGAGTCAATAAAAATTGATTTTTAGAGTCAATAAAAATACCAGATGACATAAGCCACAGTCTCTCCAATGCCTTAAAAGAAAATCTGCAAATTTTTGGATAATTTACATACAGAGTAGAGTTGTTCTCCTAGAGTTAATTTTAAATACCTAAAAATAATTCTTTATACATGAAAACACCAAAAGCTAGCTTTATATCAAAATAATAAGAAAATGTAACCTTTTCCACGGTTATGATTCTACCATGCAGTTCGGTGCGATTTAATTTCTCAATACAAAGTGTCGCTTCATCACTAACTGCCATTGTAATAAATCCATAGCAACGAGCTCCAGGTGTCTTAGCGTTAGTCACAATTTTGGCAGTAGAAACCTAAAGAGAAAAAAATAAATTCTGTTTAAAAATTATTAATAAATATACATCATATTTTCTTTTTTTGTTGATTAAGAGGCAAAAGGGAAAGTAAAATATAAAGATTACTTAATTATAAAAAATAAAAAATTATCTTTTTTTATATTTTGCATCAGGATTAAATTTAATGATCAAATATTCATTTTCAAAATAATAAAAAATTTTGAACGAATAGTAACCCAATGGTAATATTTTTAAACTAAAAGTAAAAATAATTTGGTCACTAATAAAAAATGAGAACTAATACATGAATCCCAAACTAAGAATATTTGGTAACTCTTTAAGAAATAATCTGACAACTAATTTTCTTTTAACCCAGATATTAATTTATTTAACCAGGAAAAATTCCCTGGAATGAAACGAAATAAAAATACATATTGTGCCACATTCATTCTCATAGCTGCCAACTCATTGGAACTGTCCATTGATTAATAGATTTATATACATATTTCAGAATTATTGATGTCATTGGGTGGAAATAATTGTTTTTCTCTTTTGAAAAACGATATCAAAACTTAAACTATGTTGCTACTAAGAAAACCTGCACAAATTGGCAACTATGCAAACTGCATAAAAAAAATCAACCGTATAATTAGGGTGTGTAACCAGAGTTTTCAACAAAACATAAGCACCTTTTAAGTAGTCTTTAAACACTCAAAAAATATTTTTAATCATTCCCCCTCCCAAAAAAAATTAAATAAATAAAAATCATTATTAGAATCTGTGCAGCAATTAAAAATAGATTTTTCTATCATTTACAGTTCTTAATTTATTAACATAAAATCATTAAAATTCAAAAACTATACATAATCATGATAAAATAACTAGTTTCTGATAACTAATGCCAGAGAAAAAAAACTGAAAATCATGCATTTTTGTAATTTAGAAGGACAATCAAAACAGCAAAGAAAAAAAAATCTATTTTTGGAAGATAGAATATCAAGCACTTTTTACTAACCCCGATTATTATTATTTTTTTTTTTAAAGCACCCTTAAGCAATTTTTAATAATGCTAAGCATCTTGATAATTTATAGAAATTGTAAAAAACAATTTGCTATTACTGTAAATATGGATATATGTTACATCTAACAAATCTTTAAACATTCCACCAAGCTTAATTCCATTATCTAAGCTAAGAGTTAAAGCAGGGCTCAAATGTGTTTTTGATAAAAAAATTAAAATTCCAAGAAAGAAAAATCTTTAACAAATAGCTCTTAGGTTTAAGAATGTAAGTTAGTATAAAATTCTAAATGCTTGATAAGTTTCATTTCATTGGTAAACGAATTTAAAATCTAGTTATGCTTAATTTAATTTTACAAAAGTTATACAAAAGTTAACATAAGTTTTTACAATGAAAACTAAATTATGAAAAAAAGAAAAAAAACATTGAGAGAAAAAAAAAACTCCATTTTATGGCAAAAACCAATTTTAACAGTTTTATAAGAGGCATAAACTGTATTTATACTGAATAAGATTATTCTTCATTCATAGTAGAGAGAACGGAGCAACTTCGATTGACCTGAAGGTCTAAGGCACCTGAAGATGAGTATGAATTATGGGGATTGTCTAGCTCTGCCTAGACAATCTGCAATTGGTAACAGCAAAAAATTATTAAAATTTATTTTATTAATGCATTCTAGCCATAATTTTATCACAAAATAAAGTTACCATACCTATAAAAAAAACACCTAATTTATGCTTATGCAGTAATTATTCAGAAATATATACCTCTTAATTCCTATTAATTTAGATGTGATTGTCATCACAAAAGCATACCTTTCACTCTTTAGACGTTTTGAAAAAAATGTGGAATACTACAGTCGAAATCTATCAGATCCTTTACTTATCCCTACAACTTATTTTTCACTTTTACAGCCAGTCCCGCTGAAAGCCAAAAGTTGGTTCCAGCCAATTGTATTAAAATATGCAAGTTACTCAATTAGAAGAAGAATGCATTAGTCAATCTATAACCTTTGTTTTAATGAAATTTTACTTTGAAATTATATATATCATTTGCTATAATGTTTTGAGGAAATAAATTAAATTTAATGATCAATAAAAAAATATAACTAGAAGCTAAAGCTGGGTAAAAAAGCTTCTTGTATACTATATAACCACTAATAAGATTTGATTAGTTCGTTAATAACCCCAACCGCCAGCTTGGTCTTAAATGTGAAATACCTATTAAAGTGACCACACAATGTATTTTCATCTTCTTAACTAAAAAACCAAAATTTCTTTCTAACTGGTAAAACTTTTCATTTAAACAAATTCTTTCTTTACACAATTAAACAAAGACTGGTAGCCAGGAAAATTTTTGCACCAATTTAATTTAAAATTGGTTTCATACAAAATAATGTGGTGTCACTAAATTTTACTGGTATAAGCGAGTTATCGATTAAGAAATTAAATTGGCACAAATGTAATCAATTATACTTACTTTACCGTATTTGCTGAATAATGATTTTAAATCATTAGCACGTGTCTTTTCTGCCAACCCACTAACCCAGAGATTTTTTCCACTTGCAGATACTCTTTTAACATTATCACCTAGAAAGACATAAGGGTTTTTAAAGAAAATGATAAAAATAAGTGATAAAGCCTAAAACAAATTACAACTCAAACAAGCATCTCTATGTAACTCAAACAAAATTAGTAAATTTATAGTACCTGTATATTTAATTTATTTAGATTATAAAGTTTGTGTTTAACTTAAGACTACAAAACTTTTTAATTCTATTATATATGTCATTTAACAAAAAAAAAAAAAATTCAGCTCAGATTTGCTTAAAAACGATAAAACTCAACTATTATTAAATTTAACTAAATAATAAGTTTTAAAGTTAGTATTTCTCAGCAACAAGCTTTCCTTATTGCACACATTATCTTGTCAGCACGGAGGCTTTGAGTCGCTTCCGGGGGAAATATTTCTTTCTTTCACTGTGATTGGCTGAAGAAAATAAAAATTACAGTTGAATTAATAGGAAATCCCTCTGACATGATGGTATGATGTCAAGTATAACAAGGACATTGCTTGAGAACATGATACACTAATAATAATTAATGCAAAAATAATTTAGGACTCATTTGTACAATGATTCTCCAACAAAAAAACAAAATTAACTAGTGTTCAAAATTGAGATTATGTTTAAAATGGTTCATGCTTTCATGTGGAAAGAAGCAAGAATGAGCTAATTGCCCGCTAGAATGACATACAGATTTTGTGGTATACGCAGGCATAACGTTGAATAGAATAGCTATACAACGTTGAATAGAATAACTATACAAGTCCTCATATTTTTTGAAAGTTCATTTGGTATAAGATATAGGAGTAATGTCTCAGAGTCTTAAATTTGCCATTTCTGGAAAGCAATTACCCTGATTTTATTATAATAGACAACAATATTTGGCCACAGCCATATTGCGCTAGTCTCGCTGGTTTCCCCCCCCCCAACCTGATCTCTCTCTTGACCTAAAGCATGCCTTCTGGGATGCTGTAGAAAGGGTGATGAAACCTTGGTCTGAAAGGGTCTGAATCTGACAAATATTCAGGACACTGGGCCTATGTCCCAGAGATCATGGGTTCGATCCCCGCCGACCGAATACTCACCTTGTAGTAAATGGTGACTGATGCACATTAAATCTGTCGAGTCGCTAAGTCTTCTGTGTTCCCATAACAAATCAATACCTCTGGGACTACTGATCCAGGAGTTTCTTTGTCTTCCGGATTGGTTCAAAATTACAACGCTACGGAGTTGAACATTAGTAGTCGTAAACGCAAAAATTGAGTCGGTCGTTCAACGACGGATATAAATTTTAAAAAAACTACTCAGGATAAGGGCCAAAATAGCCTGGTTGGTAGGGCACTGGGCCTATGTCTAAGAGATTGTGGGTTTGATTCCTGTCGACCGAAGACTCCCCATGTAGTAAATGGTGACTGATGCACGTTAAATATCTGTCAAGTAACAAAGTCCTCGGCTGTTCAACGATGGATATAAAATACAAAAACTATTCAGAATCCGAAAATGCTGTTGCTGAAAGAGTGCAATCAATTGCACCGGGATTTCAAGAGCCTTATTTCCAGCATGAAATTCCTTAACCTGCATATATGCAAGAGGGAGGCAAAACTAATTTATTTACTTTTTGTGGAATCTGTAACCAGTTTTATACCCTTCAACTTTGATGAGATGAGTGTTTTATAATGTATGCGAATTATAACTTAAATTATTTATTATAATCACTTTGTACTATACCACCTATGAAGATAATCTACTATGAAGATAATCTACTAAATCAGATAATTCTATTTACTTAAAACACCAGTGTATAGTGAATGCTTTGTAGCCAACTATGATATTTTAGTTCTCCTGAATAATTAAAATGATAGTGACATAAGGATTGAGGGAAACCAACAATCACTTCCACTTAAAAGAAATGTAACTAACTACAAAATTATAAGATTTTCTATAATTAAATGATTTAAATGAAAATAAAGATTTCCAGTTTGGTAATAAAATGTTTCTGAATATTGTGTGCTATTAACTAGTGGAAATTACCCAGACACCTAATTTCAACTTTGTCTAGTCACTGAGCAATCACATCTTGGTACTTGGAAATTATATCTAATAATGTGGTATCTTTCATACTTTAAAATTGAACCTAACTTCAAAATTAAAATTTAACAATACAGGGTCAGGTGGGGTAAAGTGAGTATGAAATAAAGCCTTTTTTTAATAAAGGCTATAAAAACAAACCATTAAACTTAGTTTACTGAAAATTTTTATGGATTTTATATACATTGTTCATATACATTAAATATGAAGCATAACTTATTTATTTTGTTCGATTGTTTTCTAACAGTAATGCATTCAAAAGAATAAGTTTTGATATACCCATTTTACCCCATAAACCCATTTTACCCAGAACTATACCCCTTTACTGGGGTAAAGTGGGTATTATTTAGTATTATATACATATATATAAATTTAGTATATATTTCACTAAAAACATTTGTAAATATTTTTTAGATATAAAAATGCTTTTAAATAAATGTATCATAATTATATTTCTAAAAAAAAGCTAAAAATTTTTTTCTTCTCTTTGTATTATTAAATTGAAGGTGAGTTAATGTTCATGGCTATCGAAATAAGGTTTTCAGATGCAGTACATTTTGCTGAACTCAACATTATTTCATCAATGTGCAAGACAACTGTAACAGTTTTTGGTTTATTTGAAACGTAAATGAGAATGCTAAAATTAATATCTAGTGGTAATTTAAAATGCTTTTACTATTTATAGCACATACATTTTTTTTTTCAATCTAATTGTTTTAAGAAAATTGCTATCTTTTCCATGCCCCATAAAGAATGAAACTTGCATATAAACTCATCTATACTTTTAAATATGCTTACTAAGTTGTACCAGTATGCTATTTAAGGAATTTTTTTAATTGTGTACCAAGTCTGTTATATTGTTATTTCTTATCATTCTTTTTAAAACACAAAATTTAAAATAAATGTTTTAAGTGTTAAAATTACAGTGCAGAGTTATAATAGAACAAGTAAATTATTTTTTAGCTATTTCACTATAAAATAAAGCAATAGACATTTTTACAAGTTAACACAGTAAAAAAAAAAATATCCTAATCATACAACAGTTAGTTAAGCGTAACCATAAACCCACTTTACCCCACATCAGAAAACAATTCATAAATAATAGAATTTTGAAATTTATTCTTAAATTTCTATATAGATCTGTACTGTTACCTCTACCAGTTTGAACTAAAAGTAATAATTTTTGGCAGTTTTAATGACATTAAAAGAAAGTTCATCAACAGCCTAAAATAACGTACATTAAAAGTTTATCATAAACAGATTAATTAAATTTTTATATCAATTTCTAAAACTGAAATAAAAATGCTTTTTGCAATCCCAGTAAAATGTCTCTAAAAATATTAAATAATCATCTCAACTTAAAAGGAGAAAATAAATGTTTTTTTTAAATATATACCCACTTTGCCACACTTGACCCCATTTAATAAAGGAAATGAGTATTATAATACAATCTATAGTATGCTCTCCAATTAAAATATACACTACTTTCTAAACCAAACAATGCTTTAGTCTTTTAAACTCAAGCCAAGAAAAATCAGTTGTTTTTTCAGCATGCATTGGAACAGAAATTGGGGATTCTCCCTAAAATTTCTTTCCTTCAATATTCTGTCAGTTCATCTGATGTTCAAAGGATACACACATGTCTGACATTTTAATCACTAATTATTTAAAATTTTAAAATTAAAAGATTCATCCATACCTTCTGTAGCAGATTTATCTTCTTCAAGGCTGAAACATAACACCAAAAAATTTTTAATAATAGAAATAACAAAAATTAAAATACACTCATCATAAAACTTTAGAACATTGTATTGAAAAATTAAAAGTCGTTAATCAAAAAAAGTTATAACTGAAATGTGTACTTTTGTTCAATACTGTTCCTTCAAAACAATAGACTTGAATAATGAATTCGCTATACTAAATTAAACGTGTAAATTTTAAAGAAATCTAAAAATACTCAGAACAATGAAAAATCATCACAACTAAAAATGTCTCAAAAACATATTAAAAGAAAAATTTTTCAAGATTATAATCCAATGGTCGAGTGAAGTGGATAAAATTGAATTTTACTACCAATTTAACAAATGATTAATCTAAGTATTAGTAAGTAATTAAAAAATAGCTATATTTCCCTTAATAGTAAAGAAATGTAATGCCTGTATTAACAGAATAAACACATCTTTTAGCAAAGCTTCTTTCTTATACACAAATATCAACAGTTTCAAATAATTTTCCAACAGATATCAAGTACCTACAAAATCTGGACAATCTAAACAACAAGTAACATCAAATTTGAGAAACGGTTAACTGTTATGTGGCTTTTAATAAAACAGAAACTTCCAATAAAACAGAGAAAGCTATCAGGTTTATTCAAATTTGCATCCCAAGTTCTTATAATTAAAGATTTCACTCTTTAATAATTCAACATCAAGTTCCAAGTGAAGACCTATGCCAAAAATTCGATATCTAAATTTAATTGAAACTATAACGAGAAGTGAATAAAATGAAAGATAAATGAAATAGTGAATAGAATGATCCAATACTGAATATTACAATAATTTAATAATAAAAAACTTATGCTTTATTTCCTTTTATTAAATATTTTTAATATGAAACTGTACGGGACTCCAAAACAGAACTGGATTTTCTAGTTTCTCGAGTATTAGGAGATACAGCACGTCTACTGTGACAACTTGAAATCATGCGAGACACTCTAATTAAATGCAATCCTGTACAATTATGAGCTTTTTTAATACTTAGTGAAAAGATACACATAATCACATACCCTTTGATCTACTTATATTAATGTAAATATTTTGGATATAAAATCCTCATTTAAATAAATAGAAATATGACTAGTGAAAAATTTGCACTAAGTGCAAAACATTTGGAATGACATATATTAAACTGTAGTTTAAGGTAGAAAAAAATTTGAATTAATGAAGTTTTTTTTAAGATTTGGAGTCAAACAGAAACAAACATAATTTGCAGCTTGATATTTTATAAATGTAAAAACGAACCTCTTTCGCTTGGTGGTAGCAGTAGTACTATCAGTTGTTTGATCAGCGCTGGGTATGTTATCCTCTGAAGATATTGTTTTATCTTCTGAAGCCTCCTCCAAAACTGAATTTGAGCCTTTGAGTGATGAAGGTTTTTCTTCAGAATTAATCTGAGATTCTGCATTATCAGGAACAGAGTGACAATTGGATTGAGCCTGATCTTCAGTATCTTCTTGCATGGGTTCATCAACTGATTGATTTTCATTAATAGATGAATCCATATCACTTTGGGTATCATCAGGATTTACTATTAAAGAGTCATTGTCACTGGCCTTTATTTTAGATGAAGTATCCAATTTAATTACATCTTCTACAGTTAGAGGAGCAATTACAGGAGAAGTCTCCGGTTTTGGTGGAGAAAGACGTCCTTCATCCATAAGTGTGTCCTTGAGAGTTCCATCTCCCACATCATTGCCGTTACATTGAACATTTTTCTGTTCTTCTTCTCCATTCGCATTATTCTCTTCTATTTCAACATCTTCGGCATCTTCCTTGTTTAACTCTATTGTTAAAATTTAATTGCAGTGTTATTAAATAAAGAGTTACATTAACAGCCTTTAATAGCCCATGACATATAAAAACATCGAAATTGGAAAAATTATCCACAACTAAAAAATATGCAAAGATTACAATATCTGCTGTTTAAAATAAAATAACTTAATTTCCCAAGGTTCTAAAAAATTTTGTTAATAATTAAGTGATATAAAACTAAACTTGTACTTCGTGTTCACTCTTTTGATATCCAAGAACTGCTTGTTTACTTAGAAAATTAGTATTACATATTTCACGGATAACTGAATTTAATAATTTTTGTATAAAAATATTGTTCAATAATGATACTAAAAAAAAAAATTTAAATCACTCCGAAAAATATAATTTTGCATATTTTGGTAACGTGTACAAAGGTAGGGGTGCACAAGCAAGGGGAAACTAACACTCACAATATTAATCAAAATAGAACTACACCTTCTAACAACAGATAAGCAATTATTTAACTTTTAAAAAAGATACTTTATTATGAAATTGCTACTGCTTACAATAATAGTAAAAAACTGTTAGCAAAATTGAAAGGACTTAATGTTAAAAAGTTTTGATTCAACAAAACTGCAAACACGAAAGAAAAAAAAGTAAAAACTTGACTTAATTTGTCTGTTTTCTTAATCAATTTTTCTCACCTCATTGAGTACATTATCAGTTCACAATTCTTCAGAGAGTAAATTACTACTTCTTATTTTATAATTACAGAGCTTTTTATCGTTTAAGAATTAATAAAATATGGATTTTAGGAAATAATATTGCTCATTAGAATTAATGAAATTAAATTTACACATTTTACATGTTTAAATTTAAAGAGAATTGTTAGATAACGCGAGTTTTGTAAAACAAGCCATTGATTATCTTAATGACACTTACTTAACACCCTAAAAACTATATATATATATATGTCAAGATAACAAAAACACATATATTTTCTCACCCTCTAGTAACGAATGCTACATATTAACCTAACCAGCTGCCTAATCAGTTAAGGGTCTACGATACTTACAAATGCCCGATCACCAGTATTTGCCAAATAATCTGCTTTCCTCTTTGTTATTCAGGAAGAGTCTAATTAAGAGACATGTATTGAGAACATAGTTCTACACTAACTTGCTTAAATGTGAAATATTCGGCTTGTTATATAAGAGGAAGTGGTTTACACAGGAAAATAAATATATCATAAGATATTTTAGCACACATAGTACTATTAATAGGTTGAAAGGCAAATTTTTATTCCTAAACCACTAAAGAAAATACAAAAAATGAGCTACATTGAATGAAATGTTTGTATTCATAAATTAAGCTTAATATCTCCGTAAAAAATAAAAATTAACCTTAGATCTAAAGCTCTGTGCACCCCAGACCATAAACAATAAGTTTGTAACATTGTAGGAGAGAAAATAATTGCAAAATTTTAAAAGCATACCTTTCTCTTTTTCTTCTTCGCCCTACAAAAAAGAAAAATCAAAAATAAGTTTTTCAATACTTAAAATGAATGAGGATTAATTATGAGTAAAACATAACAAAAAAAGTGAAATCAAAAATTATAATTCATATTTAAAATTAATTAAACTATCTTTTTCATTATTTTTATCAATTTAATATTCAACACATTTGCATGCGTTATTTGAAAATAAATGCTTACTTTTTGTTGCCCGCTATTATTTAAAAGGGGAAAAAAATCAAATAAATGTCTTTGTATTAATATTAAAATGGCATGATACTCCTGAATAGCCATGTAAGCCACTTTTCCATCAAATCTAGTTGGTGTCGTTATAAAAAAGGTTCAGGTACTTTGTGCTAACCTGGATCCTATGGTTAATGACATTTACTAAAACAGTTCTGAGGTAAAAATATTGGTCAGAATCAGGATCAGATATGAAAGAAACTGCAATTTAAATCTCAATAACTGCTATATGTCCCAAAGGTAACCACATATATTATTTTTAAATGTGACTTTCTAATTTAAAATTGTGAATATATAATGAATAAAGGTTGCTCAATGAAAAAAGTTTGCTATTTTTAATTAATTGGCTTAATTGTTATATGAGAAGTATTACCTGTTCCTGCTTTTCCATTTGTTTGTCTTCTTGCTTTTCTTCTGGCATTTCAACTTGTTTTTCTTCAGTCTCCTTTATCTGTTTTTCTTCAGGCTTTTCTATTTGTTTTTCGGGTATTTCATCTTTCTTAACTTCTTGTTTTTCTGTACTTTTATCTTCTTGCTTTTCAATCTTTTCCTCCTCCTGTTTTTCCACTTTTTTTTCTTCCTCCTCTTCCTCTTCTTCATTCACAGCCTCAGCTTCATCTTCTTTCAATTTCCCTAGAATTTCAAAAAAAATTTGTTAAAAATTAATTATTTAATTACTATATAATTTGAATGTTGCATGATTTACTAATGGCTGAGATAAATGATATTATAGACATGTGTGCCTAAAACAGACATTAACAAAAGGGGAAAAAATTCATTTTAAGATAATTAAAGAAAACAGATTTAAATGCATAAAATATATCACATATAAAATATCACTTTTAATATATATTTACAGTGAATTCGCGANCAGATTTAAATGCATAAAATATATCACGTATAAAATATCACTTTTAATATATATAACTTTTTGCCACTCCAACAATTACTTAAAGGGTTGAAGGAGATTATAGGTTTAGAATTTGGAAATCAACTGCATGATGATTGCATGACTAGCAGTTCTTATTTTACAGACAAACCGAGGAGATTTTGAATTCTTTTTTGTACAAAGAAAATGCCAAGATTACTAATTATAATTTTATTTATTCATTTTATTGTATAATAAATAAAATAAATGTTTACAAATCAAAATATTAACAGGGAACAAATTAGCAGTTGAAATGCAACAAAATTAGATTCTGTCTTCTTTGTAGGAAAGACTAACATAACACCTTTATCATTAGATTTTCTTGAAAATAGTAGTTCAACAGTAATATTTTCAATGTCAGGCCAGTCTTTATTTTTTAAATTCTACTCAAGGAAATTTACTGACAACAAATGTTGTGTTATCATGAATGTTTTTTATATTACACTCAATGAATCATCCTCATGAACTGATGTAAAGACATTGTGGACTCTAAACATGTTTTCTCTATCTTCCACAGTAAAGAGTTAAAAGCGAGTTTGTAAAAACTCCCAATTTATTCTCCATTAAAACCTCGACACAAAGTAATGTAATATTTGTGGGATAGATTTCGGCAATAGTTGCTATTGATGCTTCGATTCCTGAGGTTCTCTGTTACTTTCCTCTTCTGAATAAAAATCACCCAAATTTAGTTTGTTCTTCTCTTTTTGTTGCAATAAATATAATCAAACTAATATATTTTACTTATTTATGAAGATAATGACAGCTTTTAGGTTCCCTCTGCAATAATTTCTGATGTTTAATAGCCAACAATTCATTGTTTTCTCAAAAGATTAAAATTTAATGCACCTTTTAAGGGATGTAATGAATATTCAGTCACTATTTGGTATTCGGCCCTTTTGCCGAATATTCAGTTGACCAAATATTCGGCAAAGTATCATGTGGAAAACTGTTTTTCAACAAAGTTTTTACATGCGTAATTAGAAATAGTTTTTACGTTTGTTAAATTTTAAAACTTGCTAGTTTATGCTCTGAAAAACACATGGAAAGGGAAATTTGAAGAACTGAAACTAGAATACTTAATACTGAACCATGAGTTTTTTTAATGCTGATTTTTTCCCTTTAATTATACAGTGAAACCTCCCGGAAAGACCACCTCTATTTACGACAATGCTTGGGAGGTACAAAATTTTTCTATACACTTTGTGTTGAAGAAAACATTTAGGGGAGACTATCAAAACCCAGTGACAGGCAAACCTCTACACCAAATGCGGAAAAGGTCAAATAAGGAAACACGAAAAAATAGCAAAACAAAAAATTTTGCAAAACAAATAAGTGGATTAAAATGTATTAAAAATATTATTGTAAAGATCTTCAGGAGTCTGCCCAGGATATGTTTACTAACGCTTAGCGGTACGGTACATTCACAAATTCAACTTTAGAAAAAATTATAGTTTCACAAAATACTTTTTACAAAGCAAGTTCTCATGCAAACCCCGTTCTCGTTGCAATCTATGGAAACGAGGAGTTTTTTGCCAGTTGTCTTTTATGAAAAGGTAGCACAAGTTTGGCCAGATAGTGCAATGTTGTAAACCTAATCGGTCGCTCGCACCATAACAAAGTGAACTTTTTTTTGCGGAGTTTTTTAAAATAAAACAAAGAGTGTCTCCCCCTGTTAGCTTTACAGGAAGTCAAAATTCGAACATTTTTCTAAACATTATCTTAATCACTATTGTAAATTTATTCTAACAGACCTTTATTTTTTATGGAACATTTTTTTCACTGTGAAACTTTTTTCTGTATGACCTAGTCGAAAATGTTCTCATAATGAAAATTACTTTTAGTGCTAGTACTGTTAACTACATCTTTTTATTAAATTCAAGTTGAAATTTAATTATGAACAATGATTTTTTATGGAATTTTAAACTCGGGTGCAACTTTTAGCCCACAATTTTACAACAGCAAAATTAGCTTTTTTATATGGGGATGACTTTTACAATAAGTCATAAATGATTATGAATAATAAGTCAGAAATGATTTTTATTTAAAGTGACAATTTTTGAAAAATATATCTTCTTTACCATATTTTTGTGTTGATTTTTTAATATAATTTTAAATTTTCACAAAATAAGTACCTGTCAAAAAAATCCCAGAGTGACTACTGCTCTTATTTAGAGAGCTCTTTTTAATGATACAACATCATGCTGCAGTTAGAGTGCACTAAAGATAATGCTATCAAAGATTTAAACAATAAAACAACAACTGTAAAATGTTGAACTGTTGTAACATACTTTAAAGCTTAAAAAGATAAAAAAAATTTGGTAAAAAAATAATATTTAAATTATTTAGAGTAAAAACAATTTAAAAACACCAATTAATTAAGAGTAAAAATTTTCTTAGTATTTGATTTTTTCTTCTTTCTTTGTACTGTCATATAAACCACGGAATTTCTCAGAAGACTAATTATTCTTAATACCTTATAAACATACTTTATTAGTACATCAATAATATTGGCATTTTGTTGATGCCTTGGAAACTTGCTGCAATAGCAGACTTTTTGTAACATGCTTTTAGTAAATTTGTTATTCATTTTTTGTTTTGTTTAAAATGCTTGTTCCAATTTTTTAAATTCCTTGATTTCCCATGTTTTACCAGAAAAATTTCTGCGAGTAGAAATTTGCTAGAATTTAAATAAAATACAATTTTTTTAAAAGTATAGGCTGCTCTATAAAACATTTGATGAAACTGCCTTCATTTTTTCAGAAACTTGTAAACATATTTTCTATATGGATTATTCAGTGCACTAATATTGCCCAGCATATCAACACATTTGTTAAAATAAAAATTTTAAGAAAGATAAAAAAGAAATAGTATGATCACAATAAAATCAAATTTTTTAATAACATTGAACAAAGCAATAAGTATAAATATTTTCTCACGGCTTGAACGTTTCACAGGTGGCTTAGTTGCCTTTTCAGCAATGATGTCAAAGAGAAATTCATCAGGATTTTTACCTTCATCTTCAATGGCCTGAAGAAAAAAATTAATCGTTTTACTTCTATAGAAGATAATATATAAAAACACAAAAATATTTTAGAATTGCTATATTTAAGCATTTCTAAACTGCTTAAAAAATAAAAAAAAATTATTAATTAATTTAAAAAGTTTTTTAATGATTGCAATTCTTGATTACTGCATTCTGGGAACACAAATTGCAATTCTAATTTTAAGAAACTCTGATTAGTATCGATTACCAGCTATTAACAAGTTTAGAAGTTTAAACAGTGATAAAAAACTTATGTAGGCAGCAGCAACCAGGGTTGAAAAGTTTTAAAATCAATCAGTTTTGATAAAATCAAATAGTTTCAAAATCAATCACATAATGAAATTGTATTATTGGTTATAGTGGAATAAAACTATTTGAGCAGCCACTCAAGTTAATTTAATTTTTTAATGCAAAATTGAATCATTAGTACTCTATCCAGATTAAGTGACTAACAATTAAAAATTGTAAATAGGAATTATTTTTTTTTAAAATTTAAATTAGTATTTTCAATTGATAACATGATCCTCCCCCTTTTTTTACCACATGTATGCAATTTCTCACAGTTCCAAAAGAGAAATTTATTTGCTTAATTGAACAAATATAATTCTGAAATAACAATTTGGGCATAAATGGAATAATACCCAACATGAAAACTACATACAGGTACATTTCATTTAAAACTAACCAATATTCTTATATATTAAAACATTAAAAAGAATTTAGATTGCTCTATTATGTTAAGAGTTATTAAAACAAAGAATCTGCCCTACCTATACAAAAATACAACACCTAAAAAAAATAAAAGACTTATGGGAGAAATGTGTGACGCTTTCAAAAAAATATATATATTTATATCTTTGGTTTTGATAGCTTTGCAAAAAAAATTAATATGATAAATCAAGCCAATGGCCTATGAAAAAAATATTCCACATTTGCTCTTTATACGAATTATTAGCCTTAATACTATCAAATACTCTTATTTATTTATTTTTTCTTCGCATAGCAAAAAATAGCTCTGTATGGTTTTATCGTCTGCCAAAACACTGAGACGAAAAGAACCCTACACTAAGCCTTTGGAGGTCTGGCATTCACAACTTGACTACTCAAAAACTCACATAATTTACTCATATTAGAATATATATATATACTTTGTAAGCTTATAGCAATTATTTGGAAAATTTTGATTGCATCAATTAATTAAAAGTTCATTTTTCATGAAAAATATATGTAACGTAACTACCTAAAAATGAAATCGAGAATTTTTGTCTTTTACTCCTGCATGGTATTTGTAAATATGCCCAGGTTATTTAACTGTTATCTTCTTCATTGGCATTAACTGCCAGTGCAGGTTCTAGTCTTCTTAAAAAATGTCCTCCATGCTACTGTTCTTCACATCAAAGTTACAAATATTGTGTTTAAATCAATATGGCTCACTTTAAACCAGCTGTCTGTCAAAATCCAATTTACTTGGTACACTTTAGCATAACATATAAACTATATTTAAGCAGCTGATAAAACTGAATAAAATTTGAGAATGCATCATTAGAGCTATGTAATGCACCATAGTCAAAGAATCACACTAAAACTATTAGTGTGATAGGCTATTGGCAATAGTCAGGGAACCATCCCTGAAGATGATCCAAAGCCCAAAGACATGCCATCACAATTTTGATTCTCTACAGAGGGGATAACTTCTCCGCTTTGATAAATACTATGCACCTCAGTTTCTATGCAGGCTGGTCTAAGTGGTCACCCAAATGCTCACAGAATGCAAAAAGTGAAGCTTGATTTTGTTGTTTTACTCGGAATCACGTCCTGCGGATATTTCAGTATCGTGATCTGTCGCGCCTCCTACAATCTCCTCCTAGGTGCTAAATAGATTATAAACTTGTAATTTTTTTTAAAAAAAATAAAAATACATGTAGATCTTTACTCGGGATGGGTACGAATTAGACTTTTCGAGTTGGTCTCTTTCTATGAGTTTTTCAAGCTCGAGAGTTGCCAAGACTTGGCATTCCCATTATTTTGCCACAGATCACGATACAGAAATTTCCCCTCATGTCATTACTGTTAGCATCACTGCAGTTCTCAATATTGATAAATGATTATCAGTGAAATTAAGTTATGCTTTCTTACTTAAAGGCAAAGTTAAAAGGAAAGCGATGTTTTGGGGCATTTTCTATTTTAATTGTTTGGAAAGCGATGTCTGTATTTCAAACAATTAAAATAGAAAATGCATTTTATTAAAATTATATTTTTTTATAAAATTTATAACATGCGGTAACATTAGAAAAAATGTTATCCCCGCATCTAGAATGAAAATATCACGAGAACATTCTTACTTACCGATATATCTAAAATTTATTCACAGTGTATCCTACTACCAAACAATCATCAGGATTTGTTCCTCCTGATGTGCATTAGATTAGGAAATTAGTTACTTACACAAAAAATATAAATATTCTCTGTAAGCCGGTATCAGAAACCACTTGTTAAAAAGAGAATTTCTAGCATAACAATTCATAGATCAAATTATAACTAAGATTTAGAACATTTCCTCAGACAATAAGAACAGTTATACATAATTCAACAATGAAACTAGTTTTTATTTAGAATTGTAATATAATATCAGACATACCTTGGTAAGCCTTTCAACTAATGCTGTTTTAACACCAGTTCGATCCAACCCTCGTTTTTCAAGTTCATACCGAAGATCAATTACACGCAAATCACAAAGTTTTTTCATTGCGTTTTGCTCAACGTCAGTCATTGTTAGCTAAATAAACACAATTAAAAGGTACAAAAGCAATATGGCGAAACTTCTTCGCGCACGGCGCACATCACTTTAGCCAAAACAACACAGTATTGCCAACATGAATTTGAAAAATAGCAGTTGAACAGTGGAAATTTTTTGTTTTCACTGCAATGCTTTATGCGATGATATAACACATGCGGTCATTACCGATTTTCATCATGCAAGTTTCTTCAAGTTCATGCGAGTTTCTTGTAGGTAAATATATTTTCACCAACCAGGCTCTCGTATGCAACTATAAATTAAAATCGCAAAGCGAATTTTTCCAGAGGGCTCGAAAAACCGCCCGACCGCCGTCCTCGGCGGTCAAAAATTCCTCGCGGACAACAAATTTCTCGAATCCAACGTCCGCGCAATTCAATTTTTGTTATCTTACAAAAGTCTAGCGCCTCACTTCTAAAACTTACAAAAGAACACATTACGTATTGGTCTTTAACAAGAGTTAAACGCAATTATGAACATCTACATAATGAAGAAAAAAGTCGGACTGATCGTTAAGAATTAATTAATTTAAAAAGTTTTTTAATGATTGCAATTCTTGATTACTGCATTCTGGGAACACAAATTGCAATTCTAATTTTAAGAAACTCTGATTAGTATCGATTACCAGCTATTAACAAGTTTAGAAGTTTAAACNGATCATCCTCAGGGATGTTTCCCAGACCGAGGCCAATAGCCCATTGTGCAGCTCTAGTGCGACGTAAATTAACAACAGCAACAATAACAACAACATAATGAAAAATCCCTTTCAGATTTCTGTGCAGAAGCCTCTGTAAATCATTGGCTCGATTGTGAAGCTGGCAAACGTCATATTTGATTCATTTAAAAAATGCAGTACCCTCGAATAAATTGACAATCCAGATAACTTGACCTTTGTCATTTAAATTATTTCCTAAAAGAAATAAATTATTTCATAAAAGAAATACTAGGAGAACGGGTACATTGTTGGACAAGCCGTCCTCGGGGACGGGTAAAATTTGAGTTTTTTCGAGCCCTGAATTTTTCACAACTTGATGATGGTTCTTGAAAATTTGAAAAACTTTCCGAACGCGCGTATTTTTAAAAGGCATTTTTTACTTAAGGTCGATCTTAATGTGTGGATGAGTAGTAAAGTTTGATTGAGTACAGTAAATACAGACGTATCAAAAAATACTCGGTGTAGTGTACCCTTCTTGAATGATCGCATGCAGGGAAAATGCTCCAAAAACATGGTTCTCCACTAACTCACTGTTTTGCGAATTACCATCCTCGGGTAGCATTCAATATTATCGCCAATGTCTTTTTAGTACCACGAATGATAACTTCATTCCGCTATCATGAACGTATTTACGCTTGTTTTGGAAACTGTGAGAACTCAACGTTTCACAGATTTGCGCTATACCGAATTTTCTACTTCGCAGATCTGAACTTGACAGAGCATAATGGGCGAAAATCGTGCTCGCATTCCTCTTTATGCAGCTCCTACCTGTGATGACTTTTCATACGGTAGATTACTGTTGTTGTTCATTTACGTCACACTAGAGCTGCACAATGGGCTATTGGCGACTGTCTGGGAAACATCCATGAGGATGACCCGAAGACATGCCATCACAATTTTGATCCTCTGCAGAGGAGATGGCACTTTACGGTAGAATAGTGTAACGAGGACCAATACCGCACACCCTCGATCCCTACGCAGACTGATCCAAGTGGTCACCCATCCGCACACAGTGATGCTTGACTTCGGTGATTTGCTGGGAACCGTGTCTTAACGATCAGTCCACTGCGGGACTACAGTAGATTAAAAAAAATATGTATATGGCATTACATATTTAAAGAACAAGTTACCTTCCGGAACTCACCGTTTTGTGCCTCCATTGAGAATTTTAAGTGTAAATTAAATGGGTGGGGAATGATTTTTGAAGACACTGTTTATTTTCTATAACTATCATAAGTTTTAAGTATTATTCTTGTTTTATAGCTCTAAAAAACATCCAGTTTGTTTGGAACTTTACATTTATATTCACATGTGTTCATTTCTAGGTTAAATTTGATAGAATAAAAAAAGGAAACCATTTCATTAACAGCCCGTAGTGGGCTACGGGAGGTCATCGAAAACTCTCCGCAATTTTGCGACCAATGACGTGATTGTGGCAATGTGGTCATCATTGCGCACAGGCCGACTTTTCCCAGACAAGCTTGTCTCCACCGATTTGGAGCTGGGTGGTTTTCAAGCCACCACTAGGGACAATTTGCTACAATACTTATGTTTAATATTCGTATAATTATAAAGCAATAAGCTCCATTTCATAAGAAACATACTTCTTGCATTACTGATCAATTTTATAAGAATCGCACGAACTTGTAGTCAATATACTAGATATTAACTCCTCTGTTGAATACAGAAAATTCCTCTTAAACTTAGAGATATTTATAAAATTTTCTCTGTGTATTTATTTTAGACTTNCCAAATATATACAGTCAAGCCCCGCTATAGTGAACAATGTTTATAGTGAACTCCCGGATATAGTGAACGAAATGTTCGGTCCCGTGCCTTGCTATACGCGTATAATGTCATTTTTTGTGGATATAGTGAACCAAAAAAGTGAGGAAATTGGATATAATGAACTTTTTTCAGTATTCGGCTGATTTTTTTTTTTAGTAATAATTTTGAAATTTCTACTTCAAAATAAATACATATACTGATTTTTAAAACTATCTATAGAGGGGAATGTAGGGATAAGCATTTTTTCTTGTTTGCTTCTTTTACCTAACTTTCCCATCCCTAAACAAACCAAGCAGATGTTTCCAACCCAGGCAGATGATTGCACCTGTAAGGTGCCAGTGGGTTCAATATGCATTTTCTGTCATTGGGAATAAGTAATTCTTCATTATTGGTCAAAGGGTTGGACACTAATATGTGTTGATAAGGTCCTCATTTCAACTCCTTTTTGCTCTCAGTTCAGTTAAGAAAATCCTGCAAACAAGTATCTCAAATTTAACTATGGCGAGCAGTAAACGTAAAACGTTCTCCATTGATGATAAAATAGACATAATCATAAAAATTGAAAATGGATGCAATCAAGCTGATATTAGCAGGGAATATAAACTATCGAAATCTGCAGTTTGTAACATGTGGAAAAATAGGCAATTAATAATTTCTGCTTATGAAAAAAATTTAGATGGCAGAAAAAAGTTGAGAAAAGCAGATCACAAGGATGTTGAAGAAGAATTACTGAAATGGTTCACCAATCGAAGAAGCCACAATCTTCCAGTATCCGGAAAAATGTCGATGAATTTGCTAAGCGATTTTATGAGAATACTTTTATGTGCTCGAATGGAGGGTTATACAGGTTTAAAAAGCGGAATAACAGAAATTTAGAAAAAATTATCTGAGAGTCGGGAAGTGTTTCCATATCTGATGTTGACGATTGCTCATCAGCTAAAGATAGAAATTATTTTTTTTTTTGTACGCAAGTCGAAGAGTAATGAAAAATAACACATTTTTTGCTACTACATAATATTTGTAATATTTTTCAGTCATTTATTTGAATAATGTGTAATAAAAGGGAGCAGTTTGGGAACCATTAGTTAAACTGTCTGCGTAACGGATATAGTGTACTCCCGGTAATAGTGAACTAAAATTTCGGTCCCTTGAAGGTTTACTATAGNCTACATAATATTTGTAATATTTTTCAGTCACTTATTTGAATAATGTGTAATAAAAGGGAGCAGTTTGGGAACCATTAGTTAAATTGACTGCGTAACGGATATAGTGAACTCCCGGTAATAGTGAACTAAAATTTCGGTCCCTTGAAGGTTCACTATAGCGGGGTTTGACTGCATTATAAATTTAAAAAAAAAAAAACAAGTGCCCCCTCAAAAAGTATTTGTGTATTTTATTGCCACTGTACTGCCGTGCATTTAAAAAAAAACAGCATAACTTAAGTACTTCACGATTGATTCCGTGAAATGTGTTTTTTTTTTTTTGGAAAATTTGTTTTTTAAAATATTTTTTGCACTATTTAGCTCATACAAATATGCCAAATATTTAAAAATATCAATACCGAATTTTTTGTCGCTTATGTTGATTTTTCAAATACACAGCAGCATACTAATATTTAAAAATCTATGAAAATAAAAAATAATAAAAAAATAAATTAGAGCAAAATAAAATTTAAAAGATAAAGAAGAAGATAATATTTTAAGTAAAATTACCTAGGATGGACAAAAAAGTTAAGAATTGATCTCTATAATCTCAATGTATGGTTTGTCTTTCAGAGGAAAAAAATTTTTGTATTCCGTTTTTACTAGACATAGCCTTTCTTTTTCTCAAAATTCTCTGTTTAATTTGTGACTTAAACCCTTTTTGATACAAAATTATAACCTAAGATATGTAGCCTTGTTTTATATTTCAAGCTTCTAGTAGATCACTGTTAAATTCATACTATTACCAACTATCTGTTTAAATAAACAAGGTTTAAATCTTTCCTCCCCTCCCCCACTACCGGATTACCTAGTAGATATATCAACTTTTAACCATAAATGCAAGACAGTAAATATAGCGATTGAATTATATGCTGCTTTTAAACATATTTTACAAAAAGAAAAAAAAATGGTTGACTATACCACAATACAGGAATGAGATTTTGATGTTAAGGATAGAACATGACTATTGCATGACTAAACTAACAAATTTTGCTCCAAATTGTGCAAAAAATACTTATCACAATATATTACTTAATTTCAAGGCTACTTCTTTCTATACATTCTTTAGTAGTAACTTGTTTCAATGGGTATAACTCTACTCAATTTGTTGCACAATCTTTTACTTGCGTTAATTAAAGGCCTAAAAAAGTCAGTGGCTACACTATCAAACAAAACATTGAAATGGGACAGGTTTTTCGACTTGTGGCTTTAAGGCAATTTTTACAACCTGTAATAGGTTTTTGAAGGTCAATAATGCCCCGTCAATAATCTAGAAAAAGTTAATCAGTTTTGTAATGTGGAGCTGAGGGACTATTGTGGTGTAATTTCACATTAACGCTATAATTTATAGTAATTTTTTTTCTTTATTTTTCTCTTTGTAATGTAAGTTAAAACATTGTTTTATCACTACTATTTCATCACTGAACCATTACTTCATCACTATCTATTTCCAGTATTGGATAACTTAGATAAGACATTAATAATAAAACAAAATTACTTATTTTTCTTTAATCTTCTCTGCAACCTTTTAAAAAAATTTCTGAAGTACACAGAGTATTTATTCTTTTATTTATCTAAGCATTTTATATTGAGAAAATATATGACTTAATTTCTGTAAGAAAGTAATCAACTTAAATTAAAATAGGTATTGCTTGCTAAAAACTGCCAGTATAAAGGATTACAATTTTAAAGAGAGAAAGAGATCACTACAAAAAGTTATGTCAATTTATTTTTATTTCACAAAGTTTATAATAACAAAATATATCAAAAAATAAAATTCTTTTTATAAAACATTTGTCTTGCAGTTAACAATCCAACTAGCAACAGTTTTAAAATATAAATATATATATCTTAAATAATTTGGGAAAGGAACATTATCTCTAAATCTCATTGGCTTGTATACTAACTGATGCAAAACAAAATTTACATACAAAGGAAAAACAAAACAGCACAATCAACATATGCATATATTATTATGTACATTAAATTAATTTATAGGACAAGAAGACTAGTTCTTCATTTAGTGTATAAACCAATAAAATTCTTTTGACCAAAGGAAGGAATGTCAAACTTCACTGCCACTAACTTGTGGAATACTGATGATACTAACAATAGACTCTGCTTCCCATTGTAGCTGTAACAAAAATTTTCTATGATTTAATTTTTATAGATTTTTATTTTCTTGTCATTGTAAAAATATGCATGAAAAGTAATCAAAACTGTTAACTAAATTTTTTGTTATTATTGTTGAATAAGATTAGTTAGAAACACTTGTAACCCGCACATGCAGAAAGGTGATAGTTAAAATGCACAATTAATATAAGATTTCACTTTCCTGTATCATATTTAAAATTTTAGAGCTTGCAAAAAGTTAGAGATTTGTTTTGTTTCTTACATTAAGACATTCTAGTTTATAAAGTGCAGTTTCTATTAATATTAATTAATTATGCACAATAGTTGATGATACATAATGAACAAGCTTTTGAATTAATAATAAAAAAATCCTTTAAAGATAAATTGGGAAATGTGTCATATTTCTTATAATCTAACACTCTATATCTCTTTTTATTTATGGTAGTTAAATAAAATTATTTAACTACCATAGAAAAATTTTATTTCTAAAATATTCATAAAAGAGTATCATTGCTTTTTTGTTATTACAAAATATTTTAAAATGCCTAACTACATCTATTTAAACCAAAAAATAATGAAGTTATAAATATAAGAAAAATGAATCAATGGAGTGATTAATCAAGTTTTCAAAGAAATATCTCTACATTAATTGTAGCATAAAAATATTACACACATTTACATGTGAAAGTTATAAATATAAGAAGTTATAAATATAAGAAAAATGAATCAATGGAGTGATTAATCAAGTTTTTAAAGAAATATCTCTACATTAATTGTAGCATAAAAATATTACACACATTTACATAATATAATTTTTCGCAATTACGTCTTGTACTTACCTTTTGTAAAGAAAATGGTAAAAAACAAAAAATAGAAAAATATAAAGTAATACAACAAATCTTATTTTAATTTGAATAAAAAATGAAAAACAGTTACTTGTTCAAAAGTTACATCTAAGAAAAGCTCTTGTAGAAACCTCCGAGCAGTAAGCCTGAAGTTGTAATTGGAAATATAATAACAAATCTCTGAATAAAGACAAATATCTTGAAAAGCAGTTGGAAATTTTTGTTTCAAACTATAAACAAAGAAGTTACAATTAATTTAATTGAAAAATCAGATCCTTAAAAAAAAAATTAGAGTAACTTATAAATATGCATTCTGTTACAAGAAAAATAAAACCCAACAGAGAAACAGTTGAACCTTGAATATTCAAACCTATTGAAACCTAGCTAATTGATTTTTTGGATAAATGATATTTTCAGACAATGGAAGGTCATCGTTTTAATCATTTACAGCTATTGAACAACTATTAAGATTGTGTTTATTCATTTATTTTACCTTAAATCATGTTCTCAGTGGTATAAGAGGAAGTTTTAAAATGAATAATTAGATTTTTTTCTGCTACTTTAACAAGGCAAAAGGGCACTCACAATTCCTGTAATCCAAAGCACAAAACACCTCCAACTACCTTCATTACTATTGAAATAAATAATGTAGCAGTGGAATGTCGTATCTGGCAGAAAAGATTTTTTTTAGCAGTGCAATATTACTAGCTTGGCAGGCAATAGAGTTTCTTTTTATGATAGCATTTTTACCTCTTATATAATACTAGCTCATAACTTTTTTCAGAGAAAGACTACAAGAAAAATAACCGAGGTTTCAGATAATATGCTAAATTTTTTACAATCAATTAATAATAATTACTTATTTCTCTGTTGCAGTAATAAGCACAATATCAATTTATTTTAAAGACAGGAACAGTAAATTATCTATGTAATTACGTCAATAAATTAATTAATTGCAGGCTTCTAATTTCGTGCTGCAAAATAATAATAATTTTAAGATTTCTTACATAAATTTGTTTCTAAATGAACCCTTTGACACATTAATGTATATACTGTTATACTAATGAAATGAGTTTCAAGAATTACAACATTTCAAAAATTATAATGTTTTAAGAGTATTCTTTGGTAAAAAGAATTGAGAAGCAGGTTATGTGGTTCAATGCTCCTTATATTGCAAAAGCTTTCCCTTTCTTCGCCAACCTTTTCTAAAAGCGAAAATGCAGATTCCTCTTCTTCTATGGGTATGACAGAACTTTGTGGGCCATATCCTTCCTTAGAACCTTTCTCCATTCTGCTCTATTTTTTTGCGATTGTTCTCCAGTTAATAATTCTGAGGATTTTGAAATTTTCTTCCATACAGTCCTGCCTACTGATCTTAGGCTTACTTCCAACTTACTTACTTTCCCAGGGTGCGTAGCCAAATCTTTGAATCAAAAATAAGCACTTTTTAAAAGCTTTTCAAGCACTTTACAAAAATTTTCAAGCACTCAAAAAATTCATATTCAATCAATGATATTATTGAAAAACAAAAACTTTTTATAAACAGTTTTAGCGTTAAAAAAAACCCAAAAAGAAACGGGCGTAAATCGAAACAATCAGTACTTTCCCACATCACCGAGTGAATTCAACTTGACCCTGAACTCAGAACAAAAGTACCCTTACCCCCTACGTCAAAAAAAGTGTTAGAAGTAAAATAAAATAAACAAGAACAAAATTAAAATAAATTAAAAAGAAAAACATTTCATAAGGATCTGATATTCTCTATCCGAATTGGAGCACTCGGGTTTCGGTTTCAAGTGTGCGCGCATGCGCAAGTCATAACGTGGGTACGACATGAAGTCCGCGTGAATGATTACGTAGCAAACTCCCCATTTTTCGTGAAATGCATGGGATCCACCAGATATCACTGAAGGGAAAAAGAAAATTATTCGGAAAAAAAGCACTTTTTAAAAACACCAGCTGAAAAAAGCACCTTTAAAAGCTTTTAAAAACGAAATTCACAAAAAAGCACCTTTAAGTACTTTTTACAAACGCTACGCACCCTGTTTCCATAACTTTTTAACGCAATTATTTATAATTTTTTTACAAATAGATTAGTATCTGAAAGCTGCTTGATTATTTTTTATTTAATGTAGTTGTAAACAGTATTTACTGGAGCAAAGAACAGCTTCTTAACATTCACTATGCAATAAAAGCTTTAAATATATAAGGTTAACAAGATAAAATATTTGACCTTTATTAAACCTAAATATATAACTTCGGTTAAGTATCAAATTGAAATTTAATTAATACTTACTTTAAGAGACCTTGTTCAGAAGCTTTTACTGCAACAGAACTACACAAGTTTGTTACATAACGCATTGCTTCCTTGCGTATTAAATATTGACTATTAACTGTTTCATCTTTGCATTTGAAAAAACCTGTTGAGAAATATAATAAAAATTATTACAAAAAAGAGAATAAAAATAGTGAATAAATATCAAGATTCAGCCCTTTAACTGAATTATTATTTTACAATAATAATACAAATAATGCTTTTTAATAAAAAGAAAAAATGTACCAAACTCAGAAAAAAAGGTAAATAGAATGCAGAAAAATTTAAGAAACATAATCAACTTAAAAAGGGCATTAAAACAGATTAAAATAATTATTTCTATCAAATTTTGTAAAATAATGTTTGAATGAATATGAGGAAGACTTACTTCTTATGGAATTCGACCTATCTAAAATAATAGGCTTTTTGCTAACACTTTCGCTAGTTGCTTTAATTTGGGAAGTTTGGTTATCTTCACTTTCTTCTACATTGATAAAAAAAAAGAAACATTTTAAAACTGTATTTATGAATAAAAACATATAATTGACTTTAATAGAAAGATAAGTATTTCAAAAATAAATATTTCAAAATTGAATGCCTTATTTATAGAAAACTCATAATATTAAAAGAATTCAAATTGTACACATTTTTGAAAATTTTGAATATTTACAATATTTGAAAATTTAGAAATGCAAGTAAGAAATAAAATAACAAAAATATTATTTTTTACAACATAGAATTAAATAAAAATATATGTTTTCAAAGTTTTGAATACCTTCAAAAATAAATTATTTTTTAAATAATATTAAACAGGTTTATTGTAAACCCTGGGCCTGAAAACTATTTACAAAAGATAGTTTTAAAGATTATACTTGTTATTTATACTAAATTTATTTTTAAAAGAATTAACAAAATAATGATTGTTTGTTAATATAATAATTTTGATTGTTTTAATAAAATCCTGAAATTTACTATAAAAAAAGTTTTTTTTTAAACAAGAAAAATATAATTAGTTATCAGTGACCTCAATTTGAAATTATTTGAAAGATATTAATTATTCATAATCATAATTGAATATCCATAAATATTGATAAATATTTAACAATTTATAAATATTAATCAAATTAACAATTCATAAATATTAAACAAAATCTTAATATATTTATATTTGTATAATAATTGAATGCTTAAAAACAATCTAACAACTTTACCATCTATAGTTGTACTTTGTAAACTTTTTTTATCGTTGAATGCGTGATTCAACAGACAGTTTTCTTCAGAATGGAATTCAAAAACATCATTTGGACTCTGACTTTGAGAACCTGGTAAGATACAATAAAATCATTAACTAAAAATATAAATAATGAATACATATATTTCATGAACGTGGTAGGTTAACAATACATTTTCTTTTTGATGAAACCAGATTCATAGTAAAGAAGAAATCAGAACATATAATATCTAAAGCCTTTGAAAAATAATTATTTTAGCTTGAATCTCAAAGTTTAAGGTTTTAGGAAGGGTTATTTCAGACTGTGAAAGGTCCTGTTTTTATAAAATCGTGAAAGATATACTCATAATTTTATGAACTTAAAATAATGGGATCCTACTATGGTGAAAAATTTACTCATAATTTTTTTAATCTAAGATTACCTCGGAGTTCAGTTCTCAATCTGAGTCATGAGAAAATACAGTCCAGTTTTTGAAGAAAAAAATTCAACATTTCTGTTTTTTAGATATTATAAATATAACAAATTCTTATTATAGATAAATCTTAATCACAATCGATACAAGAAGGATTTATTTTTTTAAAAATTCCATGAGAATAGATGTTCTATACCTGCCAACTTTCACTCTTTCCGAGAATGGATTTTCCAAGTGGTAGTATAACAGGGTTCCCACTCTTTTAACAAAGCAAAAATTAAGCACTTTTAAGGACTTTGTTTGAAAAAATTAAGGACTTTTTTTAAAAAAATTAAGGACCTTAAAAATAGTATGATTGTTTATCATCGAATAAATATATACCACCAGTGACAGTGCTAATTATTTAACTTTCTTAAAAAAAATCAACAATAAAAAATAAAAAAATAACAATTTTATTATAATGTAAGTACTGATAAAATTATTTCAATAATTGTTTCAGGGCTCGTCAAAGTAGGAACCAGACAATTTTTAAAAAATTTTCAGATTGTTAAGGATTAACGACATCTATGAAAATTATTTGTATTCCCTTTTTAATTAATTTATTGAAATTGAATTGTAAAATTAGGTGCAGAAATATATTAAAAAAAGAGTGAATAAAGAAATTTTGGAAAAATATTGAAAANCAACCATGAATCGAATGTGAATTTATTTCCAGATCTTTTTTTTTTTTACTTATATGTTATAATTCTTTCATAAAAATAGTCACTATGCTTCAGCATGTTGTTGTGTTGCGCATTCATATATGTTGCCCTCTTTTACGTCTTCCTCCCGCAAAAGATGCATTATCTTAAAATTTTTATATTTTACAGAATACCACAAAGTACTAGAATTTTGATGATAATAAATAGCATTTATAGATGAAAATTTATCGAATAAAATTAATAAACGAATATTTATAGAATGTTAAAGCTCTCTGTATTTTTTTTTCTTTCTTGCTCATATTATATTAAGTTTTAAATACATAAATAAAGAATGATTTTTTTATATTTGTAACTTTTAAAAGTGTTATTTTTGTCAAAAAAATTTTTTTGTAGTTAATTGAATGGTTAATTATAATTTCTAAAGCTCATGTGCAAAAATATTTTTAATTATTTTGAAAATAGTATTTTGACACAATTTTTTAAATATCTTTCTTCGAGTCTTTCTAAACCTATATTATTGTTTTTGTTATTTTACTGTGACCTCTTATATCTTGCATTTAGATGCGTCATGCTTTTTCAGTGTTCTCTATTATAATAAGTTTGATACAAAAAGGTTGTCCTTGTTTTATAACAAATCAATACTGTTCATTTGTAAGTGATAGTTAGTACATAAAGGGGAGCCAATACTGTGTATTCCATTGCAACAGATTATTTTTACTTTTGGTTGAAGAATGAGAAACAAAAATATATTAAATCTGTTTTCAATGAAGGGATGAAAATCTCTCTTTGTTTTAATTAATATATTTGATTTATATTGTCTCATTTTAAAACTTAAAAATCTATAAAAGTTTGAATTTGAAAATAATTTGCAATATTCAATGTACATCAGTTTAATACCATACTTAGTTTAATTAAAACATTTTAAATGCTACTTTAGACACAAATTTAAACCTGAAGCTTGTTTTTATTATAGTGCCCCTAATGATTTGTTTTTTTCTGAAATGGAGGAGAATTCTGTCAGGCATCGGTTTTCAAGTCAAGAAGAAAAAACAGATCCTGATATTCATTACATTGGGATTTCTCTTCCATCTAATCTTTCATCTCTTTTTGATGTAAGTATAACCATACTGATTTTACTAAACATCAGTTGTCTGAATTTTTTTTTAAATGCTTGTAATTTGTCTAGGTTTCTTAAGCACAAAACCACAAAAGTTTAAGAAAAGAGTCTAGTAAAGGAAATCTGAAAAAAAAAAGCTTATTTCAAAAAAAATTTCTAATCTCCCTCTCTCTCTTATACACACACACACACACACACACACACACATATATATATATATATATATATATATATGTGTGTGTGTGTGTGTGTGTGTGTGTGTATAAGAGAGAGAGGGAGATTAGAAATTTTTTTTGAAATAAGCTTTTTTTTTTCAGATTTCCTTTACTAGACTCTTTTCTTAAACTTTTGTGGTTTTGTGCTTAAGAAACCTAGACAAATTACAAGCATTTAAAAAAAAATTCAGACAACTGATGTTTAGTAAAATCAGTATGGTTATACTTACATCAAAAAGAGATGAAAGATTAGATGGAAGAGAAATCCCAATGTAATGAATATCAGGATCTGTTTTTTCTTCTTGACTTGAAAACCGATGCCTGACAGAATTCTCCTCCATTTCAGAAAAAAACAAATCATTAGGGGCACTATAATAAAAACAAGCTTCAGGTTTAAATTTGTGTCTAAAGTAGCATTTAAAATGTTTTAATTAAACTAAGTATGGTATTAAACTGATGTACATTGAATATTGCAAATTATTTTCAAATTCAAACTTTTATAGATTTTTAAGTTTTAAAATGAGACAATATAAATCAAATATATTAATTAAAACAAAGAGAGATTTTCATCCCTTCATTGAAAACAGATTTAATATATTTTTGTTTCTCATTCTTCAACCAAAAGTAAAAATAATCTGTTGCAATGGAATACACAGTATTGGCTCCCCTTTATGTACTAACTATCACTTACAAATGAACAGTATTGATTTGTTATAAAACAAGGACAACCTTTTTGTATCAAACTTATTATAATAGAGGACACTGAAAAAGCATAACACATCTAAATGCAAGATATAAGAGGTCACAGTAAAATAACAAAAACAATAATATAGGTTTAGAAAGACTCGAAGAAAGATATTTAAAAAATTGTGTCAAAATACTATTTTCAAAATAATTAAAAATATTTTTGCACATGCGCTTTAGAAATTATAATTAACAATTCAATTAACTACAAAAAAAAATTTTGACAAAAAAATAACACTTTTAAAAGTTACAAATATAAAAAAAATCATTCTTTATTTATGTATTTAAAACTTAATATAATGTGAGCAAGAAAGAAAAAAAAATACAGAGAGCTTTAACATTCTATAAATATTCGTTTATTAATTTTATTCGATAAATTTTCATCTATAAATGCTATTTATTATCATCAAAATTCTAGTACTTTGTGGTATTCTGTAAAATATAAAAATTTTAAGATAATGCATCTTTTGCGGGAGGAAGACGTAAAAGAGGGCAACATATATGAATGCGCAACACAACAACATGCTGAAGCATAGTGACTATTTTTATGAAAGAATTATAACATATAAGTAAAAAAAAAAAAGATCTGGAAATAAATTCACATTCGATTCANATTTTATTCGATATCATCAAAATTCTAGTACTTTGTGGTATTCTGTAAAATATAAAAATTTTAAGATAATGAATTTTTTGCGGGAGGAAGACGTAAAACAGGGCAACATATATGAATGCGTAACATAACAACATGCTGAAGCATAGAGACTAATTTTATGAAAGAATTATAACATATAAGTAAAAATAAAAAAGAAGATCTGGAAATAAATTCACATTCGATTCATGGTTGCAGGTAGTAGAGTGAGAATGACTATTTTTTATCTGTATTAAACACAAATGCAAAAGACCTTTAATGAGATGAATGTTTATAAATTCCTCCAATCAAATACTATCTAATTGTACTGACTTATGAAGAAATTTAAAAATATAGCAGATTTTTAACTATATTTGACTAGTATTTGAAGTGGACGTTTATAGCAGCTGAAAATTCTGAGTAATTGTTTTCACTAAAACAGATTATACATGCTATATTTGTTGAATAAGTAATAGAAATTATAATTACACATTGAATATTCTAGCACCTTCAGCATCCAAACTCTTAGTCTTCATATGACGTATAGAATAATCTATGCTACTCAAAGATGGATCATGAAAGCTCAGAGAACTCACACGTCTTCGCTGAATATCTTTTAGAGTAGCATAACCTAGAGCGTCCCGTGCACTAGTCAGTAAAAATGGAGGTTTTTCTGGTGATTCTGGGCTATGAAGGTGTATACTTTGTCCACGAGACAACTGTTTCAGTAATGAAGGACGGTCAACACCAATATCCGATGATTTTGACGAAATATTATAGGATGAATCACTAGCATTTGCATGTATTTCACTAGAGTGATCAGAGGACTGTGTATTTGCATTAGATATGCTAACGGTAGGGTAACTAGATTTAAAGCTGGGGGAACTTTCTTCGTTTTCATCCATTTCGTCATGTTTTTCCTGATTGTTCTGGTACTTAAAATCAAATACTTTCATTTCTACTTCAGAAGTGCTAATACTCCTCCGCTTCCTGTGAGGATTAAAACCAGGCGGTGAAGTTGAATAGCAAGTGTCCAATGTGTCCCAGCTGGAAGACTCAGCAATTTGAAACATGATGCGATCCTTCGGATCTGATTGACAATCTGAGGATGAACGTGGACGGCCGTCATCAGACGAAGAATCGTGGTCATTAAAATCTTTGTGATGGGGCAATATTCCTGCAAATTGCTTTCTGTCTAAAGAGTTCTGAAGAGCATCTAAACTAGAGTATGAAGAATTTCGACTATCACTAAAGCTGTAAGGAGAGTGTCTTACAACAAAGGACAGATTTGTAGGTAAAGCACCAGTGGGGAAGTCATAACTCATACTACTAAAAGACCAGGTGGACTTTCTAACTTTTGATGTATCAAAGAAGAGTTCTTCTTTAATTAAAGGCCATTTTTCATCGTGATTTCGTCTGACAGCTTCCCATCCTAATTCACCAAGAGCAGCTGCGCCCTCTGGAGTGGAACTTATTAAACCAAGAACAAAGTGACAAGTTCTAAAGGAAGAGAATTGTTTTAATTAAAAATATATTGATAGAAACATTTTTATAATAATGGTCTTTACAACTTTAATTTCATATCATTAAAGACTGAGGTAGGCTAGGTTAGACTCCATAGGGTTAAGCCTATTGCTTTTTTAATTGCAAATTTAAATATTGGCAGTAAATCAAAATTTAAAAATTGCTATTTGATATTTTGTTGACAATTTCAACAAAAATATCAAAACAAAATGTCCTAAATATAAATAAATAAAAAGTTTGCAGCATATATAGATGTTAAAAACATATCCATAAATATTAAAGTTTTAATTAAAAAGTTAAACAAAAACAATTAAATAAAATATATTAATTTTCGTTCAATTTATAAGGGAAATAGCTTACCCCCTGATTGAAAATACAGGAGCACTTGCTGCAAGATTAACTATAACTTGAATGAGGTTTTCTCTAATAATGATATCAACACCCAATGGATAACTACCAATATGACCCTGTAAAATAATAAATGTGAGGTAATTATTTAACGGTATGCGTATTTTTAAACGACTTTAAAAGGAAAATAATTATAAGATCAATAATTATAAGATCAAGAAACAAGACATTTTATTGCATTTAGGGGTATGAGTAACAGTAAAAATTTCAAGAAACATGACTAAAAATACAGAAAAAAATCATAATAAATTAAATTTTTATTCATTTAGTTTCTTAATTTGACGATCCTTCTAATGAAAATATACAGATGGACTTGTTTATAACATGAACATAGGAAATGAAATAATTTTCATGCTAAATCTGAGTTGGTATTTTTACATACAGCTTTTGAATAACTTGAAATAAATTTTATTTTTTCTTATAATACTTTAAAGAAAAATCACCAGTTAAATGAGAGAAGTTGGAATTATACAATATTCACAGAAATTGTTGAACGAAAATTTCCTTCCCAGTTAATTACTGTGCTAAAACACCCAGCAACTTGCAATAAAAGCAATCAGGTTTACAGTTGACATTGAATTAAGATAGAAAATATATTATGAATTAAGATTAGTGCATATCTTTAAGATTCTGAGAGATTGTCTCAATTTTTTTCAAACTTTAAGGTGGCAAATTTCCTACCAATTGTTTTTATTTAAGAAAATCCTACTAGGAAAAATACAGTAAAACAAGAACATTTGAGTAATATAATTAACTTATCCAACGAATCAATGCTTGTAAGGTTAAATCAACATGCATACAAAATGTTATAAATTTAATTAAAAAAATCAACATAAAATTGTCATAGACTTGATTAGCCCTACTGGTCTTTGGGGATGAGCAACAACAGGAATTTAATAAAACTATTCAGTTATAAAATTTATCCACACCACTTTCAATTATTAGATGTCTTTGTATTTTGTCAAATACAAATAAAATTTTCTTATAAAATTTAAAAATAAGAGGCTTTTTCTCTTTCTAGTTTCCACTCAACGCATATAATAATTAAAAAAATTTAAGAATTTTTAAATGATTGGAAAAATTGTTAGAACAAATGAAACTTTTAAAATTTATTTAAATTATACAAACAATAATTAAGATTATAAACTACATAACTAAAATTATAAAATATAGATTGAGACATAACTATGGATTGCATAAAAAATGGTTGCATACACTTTTACAGTCACATTTTGCATTGCACCTAAAGAGTGAAAGCATACCTGCCAACATTGGTGAAATAAAAAATTACTGAGATTTTACTAGCGACATTTTTCGGGCTACGAGTAAAGTTTTGATACATCATGCATAATCATGTTAGCAAAAAAGTGAAATTCAAAATAATATAAGCATGTACACGTAGCGAAGTAAAAAATATGTATATAAATCTTAATTTAAAGAAGATTTTTTTTTAAAACCATTATTTATAATTAAACTATAAACACTCAACATACTGCAATACTGGCAATAGCATCATCTGTTGAGGAATAAGAGAAGTATTTTTGCAACAGCGAATATTTTATTGGCAATTTTTTTTCCTTAATCTCTTCAACAAATACTGAGAAATTTGAAAATATACATGTGAACAGGAGATAGTCATAAAATACATGAGTCTTTGTTAAAAAACAGGAGACTTGGCAGATATGTGAAAGGCTGGAATTTAACAGTATTGCATAAACAAAAAACAAAGTAATAGTAAACCATATTTACCACAGCCCATAATGAAGCTTTTAAGTTTAAAATATCCAACTCAGAATCAAATGAAGGATTATGTAATGAGGTGAATAAATCATGAAGTGAGACTTCTGCTTCTAAAACTTCAATACCTTCAAGATGTTGAACTAGTTGACCATAAATATGAGGTGGTAAGTAAACTTTGCGTATCGTATGACTGAAACACAAAATCAAATATTATTTTGACATAAATATTTTAAAATATTATACAAATAATTTTATGACGGAAAAAAGATTGATGATAAATCCATGTGTACTTAAAATGAAGTCTCACAAATTAAACATGCCAAAAAGGAGTTAATTAAATGTACAATTTGAGATTCATGTGTTGTAATAAATAATAATGTATTAAAAGTAGCTAGATTTTAAAAAATATGCAAAAATCAGAACTGATAACTGCCGAAAAATGTGAGAATTATTGCGTCAAACAACGACTAGGGAGTGCAATTTGAATTTCTAGTATCATAATATAATCAGAATTGTAAAAAATCACATGATAAGTAACAGCAATAACTGAAAAAAAAAGATGAAAACATTGCACGGATTAAGTGCAAATTGAACGTAACAAAAAATATGAGAAAATCAATAGCATTAACTGAAAAAAAAAAAAGAACGGATCAGTCAAAACACTGATTTACAATTACATTGAATGCTTTTAAAAGTGATTATTAAATGAGCGATTTGAAATTTATGTCCTAATATGACATTAAACATTAATATGGTCTAATTGCAGCCAAATAAAAAAAGGCAAAAAGATATCACATTAATTAAATAATTCCTCAATCAGAAATTGAAATTTGCAACAAAATTGCTGCTCATTAAAACAAAAGATTTTTAAAAAAAGAAAGAGAAAAAACAAAAAATTTTCTAGCAAATGATCTACATGTTTGACATTTCAGAATTATTTTTTAGATTATCAATTTTATACTTCTGTGTTTGCTTTAGCAGTTCCCTCATTTTAGCCGAAGTTATTATGAAATTTACTTCTCAGTTTTGCGTTCTCGAAGTTGCATTTTCCTCTAACAAATCTGCGTAAAAAAAGTCCTTAGAGCAGGAGAATGAGAAATTAAGAAAAACAGAAGGTGATGGGCAAGGCCGGAATAAATATCTCATTATTAAGATTTTGCATAAATAACAAAATTTATATTTTTGATTAGCGGAACTCAGAAAATGGTGTATAAATTATTGAATATAAATATAATCGGCTGGAATAGAAATAATTGATTCGAGGAAGTCAGTGAATCAACGGTCTTGAGATTCACAGATATCTGCGAATTAGCATGCACTCTGTTAAAACAAATAATAATAATGATCAGAAATGACCTTTGTTTTTTCATAAAGCAGCTAGAGAAATGATAACAGTACGAAACAACAGAATAAATAATATGTTTGCAGGATAATGTAACGAACTTGTTCAAGTGAGAATAGAATAAATATGATCTTACAATAATTAAAAAATGTGGCTGCACGATAACATTCCCATTCTAACAGAATGAAAAGAAAATTATAGATAAATATTCATTAACCAAGCTTGTAACATTTTCTACATTAACTAATAATATTTTTGTATGATAAATCCTTTAGGATTGTGCATGTTGCCTTTCCTGGTCATTAGCTCAAATATTGTAATGATAACAAAACCTCAAGAAAATTATAGACATTTGTGAGAATGAACTAATAGAAAGAATATGTATTCAAATTACTTTATCATAATAATTTGTTGTACTACATTAGTATTAAAAGGAAGTTAGTGTTGTGTTATTAAAAACCTCAGCACTTGAAATAAAAATCAAGTTTTGTTCTTTGCCTACTAGCACGACAGACACAGGTGGGTCCTGGCCTTTTGCAGAGTTTTATCCCAAGAAATCCTATTTTCAGATAAGGATTTAAATTAATTACTTTTATGGTTTTAAAGTCATTTTCTAAGCAGTCAGATCACCTAAGTTTTGATCTTCCTCTTTTTCTAGTGAAAATTGGCTAAGCCGAAAAGATCTTTTTATGATTTGAATAACATGTCAAATGTCCTGCCCATTTTATCTTTTGAATAGCAATATACTTTATTATATCAGAATATTTGAATAATCTATAAAGTTCTATGTTTGTCCTTTTTCTCCATTGAGTTTAATCACATTATATTCAAATGCTCAAGATCTTTCTCTCAAATATTGCAAAGGTTTTCTCCTTGTTTTCAGTCGTTGTCCATGTCTGAGGACAGGCCTAATTAAACTTAAGGAAATTAGTATTTTGGTTTTTCTGTTGATAAAAAAGTATATTTTTAGACAAAAATAAAATAAAAATGATAATCATGTTTTTTATGAACATGCATCTGATACTACACTTAAGAATTACATTTCAAATTTGTTTTCAAGAAAAGTAAAATTTTTAATATGACACATTAGTGTTAATGAAAACTTAATTTGAATATTTCCAAAAATAAGTATTTTAGAACCTGAGTAATGCTTCTAAAAACAATATAATCTTAAAATAAGAGGATATTGAAAATTTAGCTATTTACCTCATGTCTGTGCTACGCCTTCCATAATTACCATCATCACTTCGCCGGTGATGTGTAAAAGCTTCATTTAATAGATCTTCAACCACTTTGACATATTTGAAATTGTAAACCTAGATGAAAAAATTTTTAATTTGAAAACTAAGATAAACTTTAATATAGTTGAACCTTGATCACCTTCCCACACTTTTCATTTTCATGCAAGTATCCTATTGTTTTAACAATTCCATTACAAATGCTAGGTTTATAATGTTAATAATACCCATTTGAGTTGTTTTTGAAACTAGCAGATTTTCACCTCTATCGTTCAAAAATTCTACGGACATTTCTTCTTTCAAATCCCCATTTCCAGCCTAGCTAGACAAGGTCCATAAGTTTGCTCACCTTCAAAAAGTCTAAAACAAGTAAAGATCTTCCTATAAGGTTTTGTTTTAAAAGACCGAGGCAGTCCAGTAGATGTTCAGGGGATGCCTGGGCCGAAGAGCACTGGGTACAGAGGGCAAAACACTTTTTTCCTCCAGAGTACCTCAGTGATTTCAGGTGTCCACAGAGGAGACCTGTGATGGCGATTTGAGACTGATGGTCTAAACATTTCTATGGACATTTAAAAATTCGTTAATTTATTTTGAGGCAAAAAATATTAACTCCTGATGCTAATGATTAAGAAGAAAAGGAGGATTTGTTGCAGTTTAGAGGAAACTCCACAAACATGTGATTTGATGTTTATGCACAAGTTGACTATTCAGATTTTTAAAATGTAAAAAATTGGTACTTGAGTTTTGAAGTTGTATGATGAAGAATTTGAGTTTGAGCATAGATTTTATAAACAGGTTTTAAAAATAATCTTTTATGAACTGAGAGTCAATTACAAATTATTGCTAACTTCATCATGTACTTTAATTTGTACTGATTTAACACACACAATCTGTATTAATCGGGTTTGTTTAATTTTTATCAATGAAATAGAGTCTGGTCAAGTAACCTGACTTATGCACTAAGTGGCAGAAATTATCTTATTTCCTTTCATTATAAATTAACATATTTTTTTTTCACAAATTTAAAAAAAAATGGCATTTGTAAACAGAATATTAATTGTTAAAAGGTACAAATTTTAAAAATTTTTCTGATTAAGAAGATATAAGAATTTCACACAATTTTATATTAATAGCAGATATTTGCTGAAAGAAGTTTTCTATCATTAAAAAAGCATAGACAATAATATACTTAAATTTCTTTTTTTTTAAATATCCTATAAAAAAAAATTAGCAATAAAACTTTATCTTTGTGACCCAATGTAAATAGAAATGAGTGTTTCTTCCACACGCACAAAACTTGCAAAAAATAAGTAAATAAATAAACATATATAGTAGATATACATATAAAGTAAATAAATATATGTATAAAATAAATAAATATACATATAAAATAAATAAATAAATATACATATAAAATAAATAAATAAATATAGATTGCAACGTTTAAAAATTAGATGAGGTACTTACATATTGCCACCTACGTAATTCTTCGCTAAGAAAATTGGATTCTTTTAGGAAATTAAAACCACTTTGAACAGACAAATAGCGAATTAATAAAAGAAGGCCTTTATCACCCAGTTGTAGCAGAGGAGGCCTCAGGGATATGAGTGCTTCAAGATTTTCCTAATTATAACATAACATTAAATGTTAACAATTAAATCAATTCAAATACACATATTAGGAATCTTAAATACCACTGTAAGATATTACTTTTTTCTTATTCTTTCTTTATTTTTTTTAACAATACGTTCAAGACAGATAAAATCAAATTATATAAACAAAATATCTAAAAATATTTTGATGCAGAGAGAGAGAAAAAAAAAACAATAATAAATTTAATGCTTCATTTTAAAGCTGTGATCATTTTATTGAATTCTTAGAGACCCTGACTGGAACGTTGATTGATAAAACTATATAATTAATTGGAAATGAACCTTTTGCATATTTTTAACCTTTGCATATTTATCCTTTTGCATATTTATCGCATTTTAGGTATTTTTCGTAATATCCTTTTACGTATTTTTTTTTAAAGCACACAATAAAACCTGTTTTTGTAAATTAATTTAAGTAACCCCATTTTCTCATACAACAGTTGCTCAAACTTTTGAAATTTTGTTTTTGAGGCAGATAAAGAAACTACCTAAATAACCAGTACCCACTCTAGGCACAAGTGTTATCCTAAAAACTAAGTTAATTTTATTGTGATTTTCATCCTTGTTAGGACAATACTTAGAATATAATTACACAGTAAAGTTCATTAAGAGTGTCATTTTTTACTCTTTTTTTGAGCAATCATTGTTTCAGATGTTTGATCTTCAAACTGCAAACTTAGATTTCCCCAGAACTTGACCTGTTATTAAATGAAAATAGCAAACTTAATATATCTTGTAAACAATTTTTATTTTTGAAATGTTTCTTATATTATAATGCAAGGGTATTTCCAAATATATGTGGTAAATAAATTTCATGTCTACACAAATATTAACAAATATGAAGCGGAACAATTTCAAATTATTAAAATTTCCTAATATTCAGATAAAAAAGAAAAATACAAAGATTGTAGCTATTTTTATTTTTTTCTTCATATTATGCATGACTCAAATTGTAAATTTTGCTGAATACCTTATTTAGTGATGTTGCCAACATTTGACAAACCGATTATCAACTATTTGGCATTTGTTTCTTAAATTACCGATCAATGGTAATAAAATAAGCTCTGTGAGTTTAAAGTTATGTTGAATGCTGTGGTAAAATACTTCTTAGCATGCAAACACAAATAAAAATTGTGTATTTAAATTAATATAAAATTAGAACACATCGAAAAACAGACATAACATTTGGATCTTTTTACTTTCTTTGTAGAAGTTTTGTGAAAACAGGCATGATACAAGTTTTTATGGGCAATAAAACAATTCAAACTATTATAGGCAATATAACAAAACAATTTTTGGAAATTTTAGTTTTTTTAAAAGATGTATATAATAAAAATTTTCTCATAAATAATACAATGCACAGTCTTTAAAACATTTTAAAATATTCTTACTATGCTTTTTTTTTATCATTTCATTTTGTAACCTTATATCATAGTTACCTTTATTTTGTTACATATATTTCAAATATAAGTCAGAAAATACAGTGGCGACCTTTGTGCTAAAATACATACTAAGGCAAAACAGCATTAAAAGGGCACAAAAATATTTATAAACTACAGACAGCTGTTTCGGATGCTCAAAGGGCAACCTTCATCAGTGCAGCAGAAAGAAATGAGAGAAAACAGGGTAAATATATATAGAGAAAGGTGACGTCACAAGAGGGTTTAGAGCAACGGCCAATAGGCGGGAAGGGTGAATGAATGACAACGAATAGGAAGCAAGGAACAAAAAGGTGGTTAGTTAGGCTTAATCATAGATTTCCAAACAGGAGAAAGATAAGGAACGCTAAATAGGTCACTGATCATCAATTTGGAATTTTTGAAAATATGATAAGACTCGTAAAAATCTAAATAAAAAATTGAAGAACAATTTTGAATGACTTTAGAGGAAGAAAAATTAAAATTATGATTAGAGTCCCAACAATGTTGAGCAATAGATGAGCGTTTAAATTCTTGTTTTTTGACATAAGCTTCATGTTCCTTGACACGGCACTTTAAGGCATGCTTAGTTTGGCCAATATATGAAAGGCGCCGGGATAGCCTGGTCGGTAGGGCGCTGGGCCCATATCCAAGAGGTCGTAGGTTCGATCCTTGCCGGCCGAAGACTCCCCGTGTAGTAAATGGTGACTGATGCACGTTAAATCTGTCGAGTCTCAAAGTCCTCCATGTTCCCACAACAAATCAATACCTCTGGGGGTACTGATCCAGGAGTTTCCATGTCTTCTGGATTGGTTCAAAATTACAAGGCTACGGAGTTGAACATAAGTAGTCGTAAACCCATGAAATTGGGTCGGCTGTTCAACGACGGTTATAAAATAAAATATATGAAAGGCCGCAGTGGCAATTAATTTGGTATATACCCCAGCTATTTTGACTGTCAATGGGCTGTTTGAGATTAGAAAATATTATTTTATTAATGGGACTGAAACTAATATTAAAATCAAACTTCTTTAGGATATTAGCAACTTGCCGACTTATTTTAAGAAAATAGGGTAAAATGACTAAATTGTTAGAAAATTCTTTGGAAGGTTTATCAGAAGGCGATTGTTTAGTTAAGTTTTTATAAATATTATCAATAATGTTAGGAGAATCACCTCTGTCATGAGCAATGGCTTTGATGTAATTTAATTCTGCATCAAGAAAATCAATGTTAGAACAAATATTAACAGCACGGTAGAAAGAAAAGAAAGAGGCAAGTTTTTGGTTGGGAGGATTTGTAATGAGGGGAAGAGAAACAGCAAAAGGTTTACGAAAGACAGTAGTATGGAATGAATTATCATTCCGAGTCACAAGAACATATGAGAAAGGAAGTTTTTGATCACGTTGTTTTAACGTTGCTTTGCCTTAGTTTGTATAAGTCAGAAAGGTTACACTTTTTGGATTCTTTTGGCTTTTTATCCACACTTTTTGGAAGTGTATGTATTTTCCATGTAGCTTTACATGGTGCTACTTTTTTTTAAATGGAAGTTCTAAATATATGCAATTTATACATGTTGTAAAACCTTTGATTTATAAACATTTAATTTAATTTAGTTATAATTTGATTTAAATGCATTTTAATGATATTTGGAAAATAAATTTGAAACAAATAATTTATAGAATGCCCTTACATATACAGTTTAGAAGACAAAACAATGATATTCTTTATTTCAATTTAAACTCTTAAAATGTGTAAATACCAAAAAGAAAAGAAAAAAGAAAGGTTAGAAAATGAGAAAAAAGGCATATCTAACCCATTTCAGAAAAAGCACATTTTTCCTGTGCATTAATTATGAAGCATCATTAAAAGAAAAATATAGGATGAAATTACTGTTAAGGTTGCATAATTGATAAGTATAATTAAAACAAAAATATAACCCAATGAGTTTATAAGAACTGTTAACTTTTAAACTTTTATTTATGACAAATTATTAGCTTTATTAGATTTTTGGTTGCACACTCGAGAAAAGACATTTCATTCAAAAATTTTTAATTAAGTACAGTTAAGTGTTCATGCTTATGACTGCTGACTCACTGGATATTCTAGTTCCTTCTTGCCAATGCGAGAAAGAAATTTAAATGTTTTTCTTTTAAGAATGTATATACACATTAGTGTTTTACGTAATGTTAAGGGCCTTTACCTCCTGATTCTTGCGTTTGCCAACCCTTAGAACTGCTTTCCTCATTTCTTTTTAATCACTTCATAATAGGAACTCACTTATTAGATTCGTATATAATATAGTTTAGCTTTATATGAATATGGCAGTACTGTTTTTAAAATAAAAAAATCTAAAACATTATACAGTCTGTGAAACCTTTGATTTATATTCATCTTAGTAATATGCTATTTCAATGGTCCTTAAAATATCTATTACCACAGAAACTGTATTAGTATATTGGGCATCTATTACCACAGTAACAGTAGTACTATTATCTAAATAAACTAAGCATAACTGGTATCAATAAAAGTTTAGCCAATTTCTTTACAGCTTCCTGGATCTATACAAAACCATGTCTAAATACAATATCAAATATTAGGTACCATGAATGTATTTACTAAACATGAATAATTTTAGAAAAGCAGAAGTAAACACAATATACAGTTATCAGGAAATTTTACGAGGTAAATTGCTAACTCTGATTTTAGTAACACTGTTTTCAGTTCAATTGCTAATTTTCATACCACAAAATTATAGACCTGCTTATGTTGTTTTTTAATATTCTTAATTTTCACAAATTAGCAAGAACTTGCATAAATCAATTATAAATTTTTACAAAAACAGGTACCTCGAAGAAACTTAAACTTCTAAAAATTGTCCTTGATATATCTAACTTACACGATAAACTTACTTAAAAGGGTGATATATATTAAACTATAGATGCTACAATAGTTTAATATGTATAATGTCCATGAAATAATAATTTGAGAAAGATTAAGCACTGAATTAAAATATAAAAATGCGCTAACATGTGTGTAAAATAAAAGAGAAAAGCTTACTTTAATTGTACAAGCTTCATCTAAAATTTCAAGCGCAGCAGAAGAAACCAATTTGCTAGAATCATGCAGTTGATATACCAATACTTCTATGGCCCATTTACGAAAATCTGGTAATTTGGCCCTTAGTAAGACAAGAAGTAAATTCGTTGCATATAACCTTGTAGCCTAAAAACAAAAAGGACATGGATAAAGTTTGCACAGTAGAAGAGAAATTAATTTTATTTTTAGCAGGAATTATGTTTCCTCTTGCTAGTGAACTCAATTTGCAAATTTCAATACGTAAACATTCTATGTGAATTTTCAAATTCAATCTTATGATTAAATAAACTAGGGCACCCTAAGCAATTTCAGTGAGTTGCATAGCAAAATCTTCCTACTTAAAAAAAAAAAAAAATTGTTTAAATGCTGTACTGTAATTTAAATATTCTAATTAAAACTGTACCTGTACATTAAATTACCGAATCAGATTTAAAAATCAAACCTTCCGAAATAAGTTAAGTCTTAAATGATTTTAAAACTAATTTATTTACAAATATGCTTATATTTGTTTTTGTTTTAAATAGATTTAATTACTGACATAAAATTTCCAAATCTTCATAACTTGTATTTCACATGATTATTCATCTATTTCTATTTTAATTCTTTTTTCAGCATATTTCATCATAATTAAATATATCAATTAAAGAAACATCTTACTTCTTCAGTCCCAGTGAGCACTTTTGCTAATATTGCTCGAGAAAAACCTTCTTTAGAATAATCTAAACTTGACACAACTAATTTTATGTAAATATCTTGATTGGTAACATTCACAAGTTGAAGGAGGCTAGAAAATACATAGATCAAAAATTAGATATAAATTCTTACAATATTTATGTAATTTTAATAAAAATATCAGACAAATCATTAAAATTTACAGATTATTTGATTGTTATATTGTAAGACCTAAATCAATAATGCAAAAAATATATAAGTATTCTTAGGTTAAACAGGTACTTACACTCATTATTCTTACAATTGAGGTTTATTTTAAAAATTTGTTACTTTTTTTAACATATAATTATGAGCGACAAAATTTACTATTTTCACCACATGCAAAAATATCAACTAACTGCAAACAAAAACTTTTGAAGAGCTAACTGAAAGTACATGTAGAAATTTTAGTTAATTTGATAAAATCAAAATAGAAAGATATAGATGAGTAAGAAAAACTTTCTTTAAAGATCTCAAAAAAATTAATACAGATCAAATTAAATAGGATTCATACACAAAAAGAAAAAAAATTTCACTGACTTTTATATAAAATTCAAGATTTTTTTTTTTTTTTTTAAAAGAGAGCAAAATGTTAATTAAAAAATAAATATACATAATTATTTAAATTCTATTACTTTTAAATATTATAGGCTGATTATTTAAAAATAAAATGAAGTGTAAATTCAACAGGCCATATTACATTCTACATACCACAATGTAAATGGCTTAAATTAAATAATTAGAATTTAAATCAACTTTTCTAAAAAANAAAAAAAAAAAAAAAAAAAAAAAAAAAAAAAAAAAAAAAAAAAAAAAAAAAAAAAAAAAAAAAAAAATGATGAGGATAATTTGTTACACTTTAAATTCTGTAATAGTGAAAATAAAAAATTTAATTTTATTGAAAGTAAAAAAAGTTTCTTCAAGTTTTTAAATAAACCCGATGAAACATTTTGATGTATACAACTCAGAATACACAGAAAATAAATTTGTAAAAATTCCATATACTTAAGCTCAGAGAACCTCAAATTTCCATTTCATCTTATTTTCTGTATTAAGTGCCATGTCTTTATAAATTTAAAATTTTATTAAAATTAACAGCTTTAAAATAATTATAACTATTAAGGAGGAAAAACTATACCAGTTAACATCACATTTTTTTAAAACTAATTATAATAAATTTTTTTTAAAAAAACTGAAAAATCTGTTTTCCACATTAACCTAACATTTACTTAATTTGAAGATATGTTGTGAATTAAACAGAAAAGAAATACTAACATGAAATCATATTACATATGCAAATTAGTGAATGGACCCTTCTAAATTTTCATTGATTTCAATACAAGCATCAAATAGATATAAGTACGTAAATATTACAAAGCTGTGAAATTTATTATGCACATATTAAAAGTTCAATAAAAAAATGTCCATTCTTTTAAAAATTCAATATTTTATTAAAATTAATAATTGGATTTAATATTTCTCTAATGAAATAATTAAAAAAAATAATTTTAATAATTTTAGGACAAAAAAAACTTGTGAACAGCTAAACAAATTTGTAAAAAGTAATTTAGTATATGTCTCTCCACTCAATTCATCATTTCAATAATTATGTGATGATTTAATTCCTAACATCAATTGTATTTTTTTTAAAAATAAAATGATGAAGATATTATTTAAGTTTTTGAAATGAAAAATTTAAATCATAAAAATTTGTTATTGCATATCCTTAAAATATTAGAAAAGTGAAGGTACCCTAAATTTATATTTTATAAAATATCAATTAAATCATTGATTTTTCTTTTCTTCACAAAATAACTGAAGTGTAGTGAAATTTTTCAAAATTAAAATTCCAGTAAAATAGATAAGAAACTTTAAATACTTTGTGCAATTAGTGGATGGTCCCTTAGATCAAACTTCACTAAATAATAATTTTAATCAAATTTCAATCCCCGCTGGTTGAAGACAGCCTGTGTACAAAATGGTGATTGGTGCATGCTAAATCTGTCATGGCCACAAAATCCACCAAGTTCTCATAACAAATGAATACTTTTAGTGGTACATACCAGTTTAGTTTAATGTTTATTCATATTCAGTAACTTAAACATAATTATGTACAGAATCATAAAAACTTATTTATATATTCATGACGTTAAATTAAATACATATTATATTCACGATGTGAATTAAACTTTACTTACTTCTGAAATGTATTGCATCGATTTAAAAATTTACATCCTTTATGAGTGCTTGATAATTTACCAATAAAAAGAAAGTACATTTGGGCATATGTACCAGAAACTTTCATAGGACTCAAAATGGAATTCAATCGGTCACTATCTTGAATCAGCTAATCCAAAATAAGGAGGAGAAAAGAAAACATTAAGCAAAATCAAGACAAGAAAACAAGCAATTTTGAATGATGATTTTTGTTTGTTTCTAAGTATTTTAGAACAGCATTTATATCGAAATAATAATTCCAACTTAAAAATCTTAATTATTTAATTTTCTACTTTTCTTTGTTCTTAGAGAAGGTTTAATAAAAATGAGAAATATTTAAGAAATGCACAGCAACGCTAGAATGACTCAGATAACTTTTATGATTTGTTGCATTATGTTTTTGTATTATGTCTGATTTTGTGTATATATATGTTTAAAACAAGTATTATAAAGCTATAGCTAGAGTTGCCATATGTCCCGCATGTATAGGACTGTCTACCTAGTTTACAACTAAATCCTGTGCATTCATATTACATTACTTGACTATTTTGTTTATAATAATATTTCAATATATTGGACACAGCTTTGATTAATTTTTTTAAGTTGCCTTTATGTTCAAAAATGACTCAAATTTTACCCTCTAATATTATCAAAAATGCTACAAGAAAAAATAGTTATTTACATTTATAATAATTGTTCATACACAACTTTTTATCAGCATGAGTAAGATTATTCAAGATGTCAGAACATAAAAAAGGCTAGAGTGGAAAGTGGGGGAAGACTGTATTGGATTGGTCTTGTCCAGCTGACATTGAGTTCAGATGTATTGTAATTGTAAACCTAAATATAACGTTTAAACAAATAATTATTTCTCATTTTTTATTAATTAAATTATTAATATCTTATTACATATTAATTTTAAATGTCCTACGATTTTAAAAAAAAACTTGGCTTCAAAATTTGCATAAATTTGATCATTAGGGATACTCAGAACAAAGCATTTCCAGATCATCTGGGCTAAGTGATACTCTACTGTGTTTCAGTCAATTTAGTTTGAATAAATGAATTACTTTGAGCTTTTGAAAAAGATGTCTGCAAAAAAATTAAAATACTGTAGAATGTCGATCAATCATTTCTCAAGTAGCCGTTCATTACAAACAATTCATACGGAAAAATGAATATAGATCCACTTAAAATATCAAATAATGACTTGAAAACGTATGAAAAGTAATAAAGTAATGGACTTAATAAATTTACGATATGTATAAAAAAAATTTAATTGAAAAAAAGTATGTATTTAGTGCAAAAATATTTAGGATGCAAAAAATGGATGACTAAAAGTATTTATTTATTTAAAATATTTGGAAGTTTTGGTTTGCACTCAGCACAAAGAATAAATTTTTAATGTTTGTAATTAGAGCGATGTTCATTTTCTGTAAGTTTGTAAATACAAATAGTTCTGAATAGTTTCAAATGTTGAAACATGTTGGGAATAGTTTTGATTAGTTTAAAATCTTTATCAGTATGACTTAGCACTTCTTCAGCTTCAGCAATCATTTCTTTAATTGATAACATTGCAGGCTTCACCATTTTCATCAATTGAAGCATAAGCATCAAACTTGATGCTTAAAAAGTTTTTTTCAAACTGTAACAAATCTTAATTTTTTTCATCCTCATTAGCATTTAAAGTTACTGTTTTCTTGTTAATATGAATTGACTTGAATATTTTTGATAAATGTCCATAGAATTTCTGAATGATAGAGACAAGAACCTGTTAGTTTTAAAAACAAACTAAACAGGTATTAACAGTATAAGAACAGCATTTGTGACAGAACTGTTAAAATAAGAAAATACATATGGGAAAACAAAAAAAAGGGGGAACTACAGATCAAATTTTGACTGTATATATATGTACTGAGTGCATTAAGATATAAATGAAATGGACACAACCATGAGATAGTGAAATGTGAACAAAAATTAACTGAAAACTTTAATATTAAGTAATCAAAAGTACAAATAATAACAAAGAAGGAAAAAGGCATAAATATAGATCACTGGGATACCATGTATTAATGAGCTTATTTTAGCGAAAGGAGCCACACATAGATTTCATCTTGTCTCCCCCACCATCAACAAATAAATAAATAAAAACGTAGCAGAACATCCCCACCCCCCCATTCAATGGGGAATTTAGTTAGAGTGGAATAAAAATTGAAAGAATGAAGGCTCAGTTAAACCAATTTGGAAATAATGAGAAGTAATCAGACATTTATAAATGCTTATGCTTTCATATGCAATTGCATTTATATGTAATTGCATTTATATGTAATTGTATTTATATATAATTGTATTTATATGTAATTGTATTTACATGTAATTGTATTTATAAGTACTTGTGTCCATACATAATTGTATTAATAAGTAATTGTTTTTATATGTGAGAGTCTTTTGAATAAAATTATAGAAAGAATATTGCAAATCAGCAGAACACTCAATCTGGACATATATCAGTGAAAAATATTTACGTCATTCAGTTTTACTGAAAGGAGTTACCTTAGTGCAAAAAAGAATAGTTTGGCAGGATTATTAAAATGCTTCTGCTTTTGTAGCTTAAAAATATATGTGTATATCTTCCAAATTATTAGAGCAGTGAACAATTTCAGACTGATATGAGAATCAAATAATAAATAAATGAATACAAAAATCAGTCACCTGAACAAGACAAACATTGAGGTCACTTAGAAATTCATCAAAACATTCTTGTGCTCGGGCCTGTAAAAAAAGGTTGAAAAAGGTAATTAAAACGAAAGTTAAAGTAAAGAACTAAATGTTCAAATTTCATAAATTAAAAAAATATATTATTATAAAAGTTTAACATATAATTAAATAAATATTTAAGTTTATCAGAGGAAAAAATAATAATAGGAAGAATTTGTGAAGTAATGCAGAAGCAACAAACTAAACACAAATAAAAATAGTTTGTTTCAAAAAATTTTATTTGTGCTCACTATGTATCACCAGGAGTGATTGTAGGTCCAATTTAAAAATCCTTAAAATTTCTTGAGTAAAATCCTTCAAAAAAAATTAATATCTTTATAAATTTAAATTATTGAAATTTTTCAAAATATGATATTCTAAATGAATTACATGCAACATAATTTAAATGAATAATTATGTGAAAGTTTACTTTTATCTCTAATCACATTTATTATTCTACCAGGAAAAATATTTACAAATGCCAAGTATAAATTCTAGTTCTAATATTCTTAAATAAAATATACAAGAATTTTTATACATAAACGTGATCGATGATTTCTTGAAACTTCTGGACTTAGGATTTTCGGAAACTTTCGGATCACGGTAAGCGAAAAATCCGAAAATCCAGATTTTTTCCGGAGCACAATTACCCCTGTATCATTTACCATTTAAACTATTTCAGGCAATATTTAATGTTAGTGTTAATATTATTAATAATAATATTTAAAAAATAAATTTTGTACACGTAAATATAAAAAAAAATTATAAACTAAAATTCAAAATGAGACTTTAACTAACTAAGTAGAAATAATTAAATTGTTTTTAAAAAAATAGCATTATGATTGTTTTAAATTGTATTTAAAAAATAGTTTAACTACATAATTATGCAGTTTTAACTACATAGTTTAAATAATAATTAACAGCAGTTCTACCTCTTCTAATTCCAAGAAAAATTCCAAAAGGTGGCACCCAGTAACACAAATTTGTTTCCCATTTTCCTTATCGAATTCCATTTCTGAAAAATCTTTTGAACTAGGTTTAAAAAAGTGTAAAAGCTTCTTTATAAACAGGCGATGATTTGCATCTTCTAGCTTTTTTAAATGGTCACTTGGATTCTAAAAAGCAGAAAACAAAATCACATATATTTTTACTATTTGGGCATATATATGCATAATCTAACAAGAAATTAATTGGTTTTTAACTTTACCTTCTTATCTTAATATTATTGTAATTTTGTGCTTCCTAATCTAATGAATAATTGATAAAATATCTGGAGTTAGACACTATTGTAATAATAAAACAATGTTAACTTTGGTAACTTATTATCTTCTTGAGAAACTACAATAAATAGAATGTGAAATAATTGTACTAAATAAAAGAAAACAATTAATATGGATTAAATGCTAAGAAAGTATTGCTTGTGGATATGTTGAACATTTTGATAAGTTGGGTTAAAAATGTTTAAATGAAAAAGAAAGAACAAATTAAAAAAATACTAAAAAGAATGTAATGAAATGAAAATCAGATAACAAAGAATGTGTGAGAGACTCTTATGCTGCAAATTAAATTATATGCTTTTCAGATTAAATTATATTGTATTACAAAATAAAACTTTTTTTTTTTCATAAAAGAAATTCACAAGAATAAGGAAGGAAGAAAAAAGAAATGCTCTTTACAATTTTATTAAGAGGATTTTCTTTAGTTGTATTAATTGACTCAAAAATTAATCATGTTCTTTTTTTAAATGTAAAACATATTATAAATAATATTTTATTTAAGTTTTTGTGTTCATCAATCTGTCCTTATCACTTTACCTTAACCCTGTTGCTTTCGTCGCAATTGCTCAAAAGGTTTGTTTTTCACTCTATTGACTTTTAATGCATTAACACCTGATTCACTGTTTATATAATCTGCAAATATCTGAATTTTGTTTTTCCTAATAGCGATTCATTTGGAAATTGAACAAAATATATTCTGTCTTTAATGTCTTTTTATGCCTATTCTGGAATATACTTCTTCTCTTTATTAATTCTTAATTTAATGAAGTTAAAGCTTTTTGTTAAGTATTTAAGCATGATTTTGATTTTACAAAGCATATTCAGTAGGCATGATATAATATGAAATAATTGTATGATGGAAAAGTTTCGTTGAAATTACCTTTAAAATACAGTCAATGAGATCCCAATCCCAACTGTTAAAGTCTTTTGTAATCACTTGTGTGTCTTTTATTGCTTGGTCAATTCCATCAGTCATTTCCTGTAATATTTAAAAATAATTTTTCCAAAATGTAATAAAAACTGAATCTTTATGACTCTTTAAAAACAAGTAAGAGTACATTCATTAACTCAGTTCAAGTTTGATCCTAATTTTCAATTCAAATACTTTTTACACCAATAAAACTAGTCTTTTATTTATAAAATGCTGCTATTAAATTAAAAACTTTTAAAATTGGCATTTCATGTTAAGTAAATTTTTATGATAGAACTTCATTTCACCAATAATACCCTCCCTTCCCCCCAAAAAAGTCAAAACCAAAACATGGATAAATCTAAAGTGAGTAAAATGCAAACATACAAAATTAACAATATATGCAGCAAAATTTTGGTAGGCAAATATATTGAAACTTCTAAGATTATCACTCAACAGTACTAACAATATTGATGGTATTCCTTTTACAATGGAATTTATTTTTAAAAATGAAACAATTTATTCTATTTTCCCATATCAAAAACCCTTTTTCAATTCAAATTAAATTATCTTCAAGCCTTGGTTCTATAAATTATATTAATTTCATTAATCTATATCTCTTTAATCATATTAATCTATATCTCTCAGAAATACCTCAAAAATGGAAATCTTACCCTTCCATATAAACTACTACATTTTTAAGATTTCACAGTTTTTAAGTAGAAATTTAAATACACATACACATATGTAACATAAAAAGCTTCAACTAATCTTTTCATGTTATTCTTTTCTGTAAATCCATTTCTCAATTTATTATTCAAAATGAAATGTTCTTTCTCACACTTTAAAATTCACATCCTGTCTTTTAATCTATATTTAGTTTAAGTATGCATTAATTACCATTTTGGCGAACATCCCTCTAACTAATTTGTGGGAAAAACTTAAGGCTTTTTTCCTAGACCTATTTAACAGATCAAAAACAATGACTAAGTTTTCCCTTATTTCCTAAAACGAAACATTTTACGAGTTACTTTGCAAGATTTTCCCTAACTTTCATTGAGGAGCACAATGATTTCGTGTACACTCTGATAACTGTTCTCACTCTAATGATCATTAAATAAATTTTGTACCTTCTTTCCCGGCCTAAGACCTGTTTTTATCCTTCCACTCGGCAGCAACGTTATATATATATAAGCAATATTTTACAAGAAAAAACTATCTTCAGATTTAAACCACATAACAATGTCATTAAAGCTGGTAATTACACAAAGTATGAGTTTCTAAATTATCAATATTTTAGAGAGTTCAAAAATAACTTTCCTCCAATAAAAATTTTTTTTAAAAATTTGAAAAAATAAAAAATTCAAAAAATATGTTTTTTCCTAACAGCATAAAAATAATCTACAATCAAACAGAAAGCAGGGTTGCTACTCAAATATAAGAACAAACTTCCCTTACTAAAAAAAATTCAATTAATTTTAAAAAATTCAAATCTAATATCGCAGTATGTAGTGACAGTCATATGGTGAAAACATACAGTGAGCTACAAAAAAATTATATTAGTAATTTATACAATAAATTGTATATTTTATTTCAATTAAAAAAATACAACACCAAAATATAGAAAAAAATGTAATAAAGACAACAGAAATATATCATATATAAAAGTTCGTCTCACATATCCAACACAGAAAACTATAATTTTGTTTAATTCTGCCCTTTGGAAGTAAATGGCAGAGACTTTTAATGAAAAATGTCCTAATTTTGTATTCCTGTTTAATTTTATTTTATATAATGAGCCAGCATGATGTTAACAAAAGTGAAATTTAAAATAAAAAAAATAAAAAAGGGTGTATCTCAAGTCTTTATGCAAATTAAAATAAAATGCTATTTTTCTACATATATTTAAAAATACTGAAGAGATAAAATTATAAAAAATAATTTCACTTTATTAATGAATCATTATCTCTTTATTATTAATAAAGATTAACTAGCTATTAATTTTAATATGTGATGCAAATTAATTAAAAAATAAATATTATTTATTTGATCTTCCTCTAGATTTGATAATAATAACNTCAGAAAAATGATCTTAAATATTGTAAGCAATTAGAAGATTTGTAATTAATAAGCATTAATTAAGTAATCAGACAGTATTTTGAAAGTCTAAAACCGAAACTAACGGTAAGTCGAACTTCCGATATGTCGAAGTTTTTCGTCAGTCCTATCAGATTCGAGTTATCGCGAATTCACTGTATTATGAATTCAATAGTAATTAAAATCTTATTTAATCAACTAAATAAATTTTCTAAAAATAAAATATGCAAAATATGACTACTGAATAGGATTGTCTATTTAGTAAAGAATAATATTTTTCCTAAATCTTTTTATATATTGATTAAAAAATAAAAACAAATTTGTTACAAAAAAGCAAATATAAAAAAAAAAAAAATCTCACCTTTTATTGTGAAGAAAAAATTAAAAAATTTCGAAGAAAAACACTAAACTTTTTAGTAATCAAACACGCCACAACACACAAATCAAACGTGCCAGAAAGTGATATCTCAAATTTGAATATTGTAATAACATCTCTTTAAAATATTGGAATTGGAAAAAGCAAACCACGTTAAAAGGATTGTAAAAATAATACAAAACTGCACCATCAAACGACGTAAAATTATGATGGTACCATCACAAACTGAAAGTGTCAAAAAGTGATAATGCAAAATCAAAATTCGAACATCGTTATGACATGGTATTAAAAACATTGGAACTAGAAAAATGATGCTAAAAGTGCCACAAAAATTATAAATAATTGCTGATTAACTATCAACTAATGACACAAAATTATGATGGAATTGTCATGAAGCGAACACTTCGAAAAAAGTGATGCCCCAAATTGGAAATTCACGTGATGCCCCAAATTCATAACAGCGTATTAAATATGCATTCATTTGAAATACCATAGGGAAGTGGCAGAAAATGATTGGAAAAATATGTGGATCAAACTCCCAGATTTTGGCACAAAAATGTTAAATTCCCTGATTTTTCGGGCAATTTCTAAATTTTCTGACTTTTTCCGGTTTTTCAGATAGCGTAGCAACCCTGAGAAAGGAAAAAAAACAGTAATAGGGTTCAGCTGGTATGCATTTATTGGTTCTTAAAATTGCGTAAATTTGAAATTAGTATTTAAAAACATACAAATTATTTGACAAATGGAAATGACTTTAATATTAATTACAAATTTTAAATAAAACACAGATAATTTAGACGAAAAATTAAGTTTATGAAGAAAAAAAATTTATAATCTTCCTAAATTTTCACAGTTGAAAAGCATTTGGGTGATGACTACTATAAAGAATTCAAGAGCAAAAAGTATTTCTTTATAGGAATTTTAAATTGCCAAGGAGAGATATTGGGATACTTAAAAAAGAAACATCAAATATCTTGAAAAAAAAAACTAGTTTTTAATTCAAAATAAAATACTATTTATGTAATTACAATATATACAACTTATTTTTCAAGTACATCTGCTGAGAAATTGATACTTCTAACAAAATTTTTTTACAAGTTACCGAGTTCCAATTTTTAAATGTCTCTATTCCAATCATTGATTGAAAATTTATTTTTCTTCAATTAAAAAGTTTTTTATTTTATTTAAAGTACAGGATGAGAAAGTGTGTTAAAAAGACTTAAGTATTTGCCATATAAAATGTCTTATATTATCTAAAAGCCCATACAGTTTTCCAAAATTGATAACACAACTAAACAGCAATATTTGACAATTATTTGATATTTAGTACTACCAATACAAAACCTTGAAGTTCAATTCATTTTTAATACAAAACTAAAAAATATTTGAATAAAACCTTTAGTCAAATAGTTTAATTGGTGCAGATGTGTACATAAACTTTGTTTAGCTTTTGTGGGAATTTCTTAAAAGATCTTAAGCAAATAATTAAGTTAAATATACAAATGAATACTTTTATTTAATTATGGGACATTGAAAAGTCACTAATTTTATTTATTTTAAATAATAACAATAAACTACTGATTAAGTGTAATAAATATTTTCTCACTTTAGCTAAAGCTTCAATTTAAAAAATCTATCAAAAGAATAGCAAATCCAAATTAAATGCATTATTTTCTACAAATTTTCACTATTTAAAAATAAATCCATCAAATAACTTCAAAACCAAGAGATATTTTGTAAAGTAAATAATAAAACATGTAGCATAAATCAATACAGAATTAAATTAAAACATCACAGACTTGTAAAAAAATTTAACTAACATTTATAAACTGACCTTTTTCAAATATTTCCAAAGTTTAATTTTATTTACAGCACTAACTAAAAATCCTTTCTTTTTACCGCTTGGATCACAAATGTGAATGATATTATGAAGAACTAAACTGTTTGGAACAGCACCTTTTTTCTTCAGCTCATGAATTCGAAATAAGCAAGTAATTGCAGCAGTAGCCTGGCTATAGAGAGAGTAAGTTACAGGTCAATAACAAACACAATTCACAGTAAAAAATTACTCTTTACAACTTTAGTGTCACAATTTAATCACAATATTTCATTTATAATTAATTATACCCGAAGAAAACATATTGAGTGATGATGGTTGTTTAAATGGCAAACTGGTGATATCCTTTTTGTTATCAAACACATTTTGACATTGGAGGGTCTAACAATGTCAAAATCTTAGATTCCCCTTCTTTAAAATAAAAAATGATACTATGAAGAATTGAAGTACGTTTTTTAATAGAATAAATATATTGTATCCAGTTTTCTGGTAGAAAAAACTACAGATGAAAAGACTTCTTTAGGAACTGCAATACTTTGTGGGTTATATCTATTTTACTCCAATTTCGTTTTTAGCCAAAGTGTGCAAAATTTAATAATAAAGATTTAAAAAAATAATTTTTTATTACAAATGCATCTTATTGTTAACATAATAATAATATTTTCAAGATGCATTCAGAAAAAGTTCCTTTTATTCTAAATAATACATTGCACCACTAGATAAATAGATTAAAAAATACATAAATATTATATTATAATTAATAGAATTTATATAAAATGATATTGTAAAGTAAAAAGCATTTATAAAAACAGTGTGTTGCTTTGAAACTCACACAATTCAACTGAAGGGCTTGGGGATACATTCTATGCAAGTAATAAATAAGTAATGTTAATTTTTTATGACCTTGACAAGTATGGCTAGAGACTATTTGCAGTAAAAACAGCATGATTTTCAGGTAGGCAACAAAATGTTTCAGTGCATAGTGAGCAACTATCAAGTGGAAATTCTGGAAACTGTAAATAAGCAGCAATTCGGTATAAAAATGTCATCTCTGGAAAAAAAATGAAGCTAAATAATATGTGCTCTTCCAAATTGCTGTATTTGATTTGTTCATAAACTTTATAGCATTATTAGCAACTGTTCATATGTTCCATCATTCTAAAAGGTAATATTTTAAACTCGATTTTAAACAGAGTATTTTAATGTCGATATTCATTATATTCAATGAATAACAAGTTGATATTAGGTTGATATTTATTAAGTAACAAATATAGTGTCTTTTGTGATCTGAAAAGTATCACCACTTGAGAATAATAAAGAAAGTATTATGTAGGCTTATTAAAAAAATTAAGGACGGAATAAATCATGAAATGCATTTATATTTAAAAATAAAATCTTGTATTAAATTTATATAAAGTTAAAGATACTTTAATAAATTTTCTAAATAGGAAAATCAGGACAATAGAGATAAAAATTTGTAAAAAAACTTATAATGTATAGAAGTAGCTCATAATGGACTTAAAAAAAAAAAAACATGAACTATTTTGCAGTCAAGTCAAATTGATTTTAACCCCACAGTTTGAAATATTTAAAAAAAAAAAAAAAAAACTATAAACTTGAGAAAAAGTTATGTTTCTCACATTTGTAAGTCTTCATGCTTGAGTTATATTTTGTGGACACAGTTTGAAACTTTTCAGCAAAAGCAATATTAAGTTACATTGATTTTCAAAAGCTTACCATTTAAAGTAATACAATATTATTATTATTAAAATGTTCAAGAATGAAGGATTACATGTGTTCCTTCGACGATCCAAATGTTGAAGCTGATGAAATGAGGGAAGGAAGGCAGTTAGACAAATGACTGCAATCTATTGGAAGCAGTTGATTAGCCTAGCAGAAAAAATGAGAAGATTAAAATCAAAAATGTTAAACTTTGATGCAAAAAAAGAGTCAAAACTTTAATAATTATTTTATTAGCGTACCTTCACTTTAATTAACTATTATATGCAACAAGAAAAAACATCGTCAGGTTTTTTTTTGTTGTACATGAATACACTGTAAAATATGTAAATTACAAAATGTACACTGTACTGTATGTAATGTACAAAAGTAAAGTAACGTAAAAGTCTTTTGTGAATTTTTTTTTTTAAAAAAAAGAATAAAAAAACAATTCTAAATAACAAACTTTTAAAAAGAATTCAAGACACAGTAAGACCTCAATTATCCAAAGTGGATAGTAGGAACTACTTTGGATAGTAGAACAATTGGAATATCGAGTCAACATCGCTTTTAATCTATTTCTAACAATAAATATTGAAAATCAAGGTTTAAATAATAGAATTCATTATTTACATTTAAAGTTAAAAAAAAGTTGTTGACACATATTTTGTCTAATTTTAAAATTTACTTGCATTACTGCCTCTGACAAATCATTATAATCATTTTTTAAAAAAATATTTGTACAAAGCAGCATCTAATTTCGAATTATTGACTGATTTCATAAAATTTAGAAGTTGATTTTTTTTTTATTTGCAAGCATTTCACAACTTTTTTATAAATATGTTTGCATAGCTGTTTGTAAATAATTAAACTTTTCTATGAACTAAAAACTTCTGTTTAAAAAGATAATCGACAACCTTTAGCTAATAAGAAATTATGGAATATATGTCAAAAAGGAAAATTTTCACCAAAATAAAATTATATTTTATTTTAATCCACAACATTTAAGCTAAACTAAGTAAACAAGCATAATTAAATATAGCTGAACACATTTCATTTAAATGAAATCATTTTAATATTAAAAAAATTATTTCACTAGTACTCACCATGTATACAAATTCTCCCAGAAAAATGGTGGCGCGAACTGCCAAACAAATTTCACTAGTAACAATAATATCACAAAGAGCCTATAAAAGAAACCAAACAATTTTTTAATAAATTTTATAATTTCTAAATTAACAGAGGAAAATTCAATCTAAGCAAAAGTAACTTACATCTAGTAACCCAGCACTAACAAAAATCAATACAAGTAGAGAATAATAATTGTCCACTAAATTCATCCTGAAAACATTTAACGTTATATTAAAATTTATTAGTCAATACTCTAAGTAATAAGACTATTCTGAATGTTATTAGTGATTAGAAATATGATTATTTTTTAAAGAGTACCTGCTCTTTTTATTAATAATGAATATTTTTGCCAAAAATAGTACATTATATTTGTAATTAAAATATTTAACACAAACTGAATTAAAAACCTGTCTTTAGAAGAGTAAGATAATATATCTGTTCCTTCAGACACAATGTATCCCTCGTAAAGTTGCCATGATGTCTTATAAGCAGAAGGGTCTGGAAATTAAAAATTATATTTTACTTACGATCCAATACTCATGAACATGTCTAAAAATATATATAAAATGAAATACCAGTATGACATAAAAAAATTCCAATAAAATAATGAAAAAGAAAGGTAACATTTTAAAAATAATTTTTAGAAATAAAGTAAAGCATTTGATAGTACAGCTTTCTTTTATACACTCCATAACAAAAAAATCAACGCACCAAGAAGCAATCATCCGATTGCTTGGAAATTTCGTATGCATGAATGTTTTGAGCAGATCAGGTTAGAATAATGCCGACTGGGGGCAAATAGTCTTTAGCGACAAATCCCGCTTCTAACTGTGTCCTGACGATCATCGAAGACGTGCTTGGAGACGCACAGGACAGAGGGGGGAACCTGCCTTCACTATTGCACGTCACACCCGCCCTCAACAAGGCATTACGGTATGGGGTGCTATTTCCTTTGACAGCCGGACCCCTTTGGTCACCATTAGAGGTACACTTACTGCACAGCGGTACATCGACGACATCCTAAGACCCGTTTTGCTACCATTCTTTTTGCAGCGCCCTGGGCTGGTTTTTCAGCAGGACAATGTCAGACCACATACGGCACGTGTTGCTATGAACTGTCTGCAAGCTTGTCAAACTCTTCCTTGGCCTGCCAGATCACCAGATCTCTCTCCCATCGAGCATGTCTGGGATATGATGGGAAGGCGATTGCATCTGGCACGCAATGTTGATGACCTCGTTCGACAATTAGATCGAATTTGGCAGGAAATACTGCAAGAGACCATCCGGGGGCTTTATCGGTCTATGCCACGCCGTGTGGCAGCTTGTATCCAGGCTAGAGGTGGGTCAACACTTTATTGAACTTGTTACTGTAACTCTGCAATAAATTATTAAATTGTTCTGAAATTTTAATCAATTACTAATTTGTACATTGTCTTCGTATCCACCAATTTTCGTTTCAATCAGACAACTCCTTCTTGGTGCGTCGAGAGATGCGTCATTATAGAGAGTATTAACATTTTGCATGCTAAAGTCTGTTATTCTGGTCCATATATTGTATATGGGCCAGATATATACTCACCATACCAGCCATAAGCAAAATGTTAAAACATTTCAAAATGGCTAAGTAAAGCACCTTAAATTGGTTTAATTGGACAAAAACCAATTCAAAAGGTAGCACATTGTCATAAAATAGACTTAAATTAAAAATTTATATACTTTTTCTTGCGATTAAAGAAAAAAACAAATTAGATAGTTGATTAATTAAAATATAATAGAGAAACTAAATACCTGAAGAACATAGGGCAACAGAGAAATCATCTGTCCATTCTGGTATATTAATATCAAATAATTGATAAAAGATATCTAATATATTTTTCTAGAAAAAAGAAAAAAATTATTTTTTCTTTATCACTTTATCAAACATATATTAAAAAAGACATTTTTTTAATAATGGAATCAGTTCTTTAAGAAAGGATACGAGTCCACTTTCGTAGCATTTACAAAAGTTTATATATTTTATGGATATAAAAAAAACTTTTTTTGCACTATTTTAGCTTCTAGTAGAAACATAATTTTCCCTTATATTGTAATTTATTCTGTCATTTAAATTATTGAAGTAGCTAAGTCCAAATACAGTTTGTAGTTATACATTTGCACAAATACAAGTTTTTCTGAAATTTCGCTTTTACAATTTTAGAGACCTTTATAACAAACTAATTTTAATGATTCAGTGAAATAATGGGTATTACAAAAATACCAAATTTCATAATTCACAGTGAGGTTTTATAGTTCAGAAAGTGAAAGCAATTTGACACTCATTCTTAAAAGAACACATATTTTAAATTTAAAATATGTTTAGTTCAAAACAACTCCATTCACAATTTAGCATGAAAAAAAAAAATGATTCATTGATGCAACAATTCTTTAAAAAAAAAAAACTAATTCAAATTATGGCATTTTCAGAAATAAAAAACTTCCAATAAAAATGAGATTTTGAACCTCATTTCTTTCATAATTCAATAATAAAAAGTAAAACTTACACGCAACTCTGGGTAAGGAAGATGAAGCATTTCCACCAAGGACTGCAAATGAGTAGCACCAGTTTGGCACAAGTATATTAGACCTGCAAAAAATTTAAATAAAATAGAATAAATTATCTAATCATTCTAAAACTATTGAATTTATAAATATTTAACCACTTCTCATTTTGTATTGCCTCTGAGCAACACAACTTTGACATTTTTCACACAAACTTTATCGTTTGGTTTTGAGAGCCACCTTTTTTTTATTGTTTAATTTAAATGATAATGCTTCTGTTCCGTTAAGTGCCCTATTCATTGTGGTTTAATTTAGCCACTGATTGTTTAGTAAAAAACCTTTAGTGTAGAATCAGGAAATCATTTTAACAAGAGAGGGAGATTTATCATTTTTAAAAATAGAATTGTGATAAAAAAAATTTATAAAAAATATTTTTGAAAATAAAAAGAAAAATTACCTTAAAAAGAAAAGGTGAGAAAGGGAAACAAAAGCTAAATTTTGGAATGTGATTCAAAAAACAACAAAGGGAAATTAAAATAAATAAAATGCAGAGAAATACATATTTTTAACAGAAGATTTTTAAATAAGTGTATCTCTGTAAAGATGACTGTTTTGGAAATTGATAAATGGATTGGGTGGGAGAAACAGTTATCATGAATATAATTTTAATAATAATTAACCTTTACAAAACCAAAATACTAGTCACAATAAACTTGCATAATTTTAAAAATGCAAAGTATTGTAATAATCAATTTTTTCTATAATCTGTGAACTCAATTTGAAAGAGTTGTTGGTTGCATTTCAAAACAGCATATCCATTGTCCTCAATGTAATTTACTGTACATTGAGACTGCTTGTTAATGAACACTGCTTGACAAAGAAATTTTTAAACAAAACAAATCACAAGTTAAAAAAGGAAGAAATAAATAAATAAAAATATAAAACTTAAAAGAGTAAAAATATTTATTTAAAGAAAAACTTATAAATACATTTAAACATGCTTTAATTTACAAATATCTTTTATTCAATTAAAAAAATATTTTTTAAAATATTGAAAAGAAGTGTCAAATGGACTGCATATAAATTATTTAAAGTAGCTTTTAAAACAAATTATAATAATAGCTTTTAATAAGTAGCTTTTAAATTATTTAAAGTAGTTCAATAAAAATTAAATAAATTTTTTTTATTTAACATAAGGACTTTTAAGTTCAACAATATGCTTATAAGCTTAATGCAGCATTAAATAAAATATGTGATGGAAATAATTTATATGAATCTCAAATATTTTTTGTAAAGTTTTTTTTTTAACCCCTTAACTGCCGAGTAAAATTAACGTGATTCACTCCCCAGTGCCACCGTTTTTCGCTCAAGTGCACTTTCTTACACGGTGTTTTGGTGGGGNAACAAAACAAATCACAAGTTAAAAAAGGAAGAAATAAATAAATAAAAATATAAAACTTAAAAGTGTAAAAATATTTATTTCAAGAAAAACTTATAAATACATTTAAACATGCTATAATTTACAAATATCTTTTATTCAATTAAAAAAATATTTTTTAAAATAATGAAAAGAAATGTCAAATGGACTGCATATAAATTATTTAAAGTAGCTTTTAAAACAAATAATTCAATAAAAATTAAATACATTTTTCTTATTTAACATAAGGACTTTTAAGTTCAACAATATGCTTATAAGCTTAATGCAGCATGAAATAAAATATGTGATGGAAATAATTTATATGAATCTCAAATATTTTTTGTAACGTTTTTTTTTAATATAAAAAATGCATTTTGAAAATATTACAATAATAAATCAAAGCATAAAGTATATAAATAATGAAAGTTTGTTTTGACTGATAACAGGAAAAAATTGCTAAAATTAAGTGAAAAATAAAATATAGAAACCAGAGAAACATCTAATTCCCATTAATGCTTTTGACTGTAGCAAACACTGTATTTAATTTCTTATTTTAGAATAGAGAACTTCAATTTCTTATTTTATCTCATTCAATACTTACATTATTTAACTAATTTTAAAAATTATCAGATAATGGATTTTGTAGCTTTCTATTTTATTTAAAGCATTTCAGAAACATTATGACTGAACCTTAAATTTGCTCACCTTAATTTTTGTGTAGATACAGACAAGCAATAAAATGTAAACAATTGAAAATGTTTACATATCATGTTTATAATCAATTCAATTCAAAAATATTTATGAAAAACTTTCATATTTTTCAATTTAGTTCTCTTCAAACTGAAAGTATTTACATAAATAAAGGAAATTTTTAAAAATGTTAAAAAAAAACAACAATATTTGGTTTAATAGTGATTTAAACCAGATAACCTTTACAATATAAAAATGTTGTAAATAAATGTAAATGAAGAAAATGAGTAACAGAAATGTTAGAATATGCGTTATGGAAATCATTTTACTGAAAAATAAATTTTAAATATAAATTAGAGTAAAAAATTAGCTGAGTGCAAAAGTTCCAGGGCTAAGTTTAAATGAATCAATTTTAACTTTATAACTTTGTAATTGCATTCTTCAATTAGAAAATATTTTGTTGTCAGTTTATAAAAAATTAAATAAATTCTTATTATATAAAACAACCTACATATTTAAATGAAGTAAATAATTTCATTTGCACAATGATAGAAAATACATAAAAAATACAATTATTATTATACACATAAGAAAAAGGGAAACAAATTAAAAATGTTTTATTTAGAATAAAAATATGAAATGTAATTGAATTATGTAGAATAGGCATGGGATAAAACGCATTTTTATTTTGAAATTCTCCTTCTTCTATAAGAAATAATAGTACTATTTTTTTTTTTTAAATTTACTTAAAAAAAATTCAAATATAAAAAGCATTGAAAATACACAGATAATAATATATAGAAAGAGGCACATAGAGAAAAAGCTCTAGCGACTGATGTTAAAATTTTTATATGACTGAAGTTATAAATACAAACTGTATTAAAATTTTAATAATCTTTCTTCATTAATACTATAAAATACTTAAAATCTACCATTTTTGATCTTATTTCAGAAAAAGTTAATAAAAATTATGAAATTTTTTAAGGGAGGGATAATATTAAATGTTTTTTTTTTTTGGTTACGTCCTTTGTATCATGGAATTGCACAGCTACTACATATAAAAAATTTAAAAATAAACCTTCAAGCAATACTCCATAAGGTTTTAAAAATTCACAAAGACAACAGTTTACACGAATAATCAAGTAGCAGTATAAATTAAAATAAAACATACCAGGCCAAGAAAGTAAAGCACATACAATAGCAGATTTGCTGCAATTCAAATTAGGATCTTTGTCTTCACTACACGTTTAAAAAAATACACAAATGATTAATAAACTGAGAATTTTTACAAAAAGTCAATGTAGTATAAATCAATTTTTAATAGACTATTTAATTATACAAACTTTAAATGGAAGTAAAACATGTGTGTATGTGTAACATATGTTTAGCCCAATCACAATTAAATGTTTTTTATGATTGTTAATTAAATTGCAATAAGTTTTTTTGTTTAATGCAGTTGATGATTTTTAAATATTGCATGAGATTTCAATAAGTACTTCAATACAATATACGTAAATAACAAGAGTAACATTTTGGACATATTTTTCATTAAAAAAAGCTGTTACAATCTTTTTATAAATGCACCAGGAAACAAAATTCATAAATTGCTAAAGGAAAGAAAAAATTTGTGATAAATAAAAGAAATTCATTAAAAGTATGACAAAGTTTACCAGTGAGCAATATTCATGTTTATGGAATTAACTCAACATGAAAGTAGCCCATTCAGAAATATAAAAATTTCAATTCCTAAATCTCAATTAAAATTTTTCATTTCTTTAATGCTTTTAAATCTACCCCAATTTTAAAATTAAAAATTCAATACAGCAATACTAATATTTAGAATCAGTGTGCATTTATTTTCAAGACAAAAATATTTATTTTAATTTATTATGAGTTTTATAGCAGAGTTGCAGCTTTATACATATGACCTAAATAAAATAAAATAAATAAAAAACATACCTAGCAGTTCCTTCAGTAGAATTAGGAAAACGATAATGGCAGTCAGTGAAAGGAGCTAACAAATTCTAAAAAAAAAATTACAAAATATACAATAAATCGAAACAATACTATAATAGTAGTTAAATAATGGATAAGGATATAACAAGTTTATAAATAGAAATAGTAAAAATGGCCAAAAAATTTATGTTTAGTAAAGAAACAAAATTTAAATTTAATTTTAGGAATGAAATATAAAACAAATAAGCAGAAAAATATAAGAAATAATACAAAGTTTCTTACCTCTAAACCAAATTTGTCCCTCATTAAAAGTCTTGTTTTAGGATGATTTATCAGATGAAATACAACACCTAATACAGCTTCAGAAGCTTGAATTTGTGTATTTTCTACAACATTTTGAACTAAAGCATTCACACCATGAGCTTCTATGCAGCTACGAGGATTGAGTAAAGCTGCAAATGAAAAAGATTAATACCTACTTCAAAAACAACTTTTACTTTAAATCTAACACTTTTACAGTAAAAAAATACAATTTCATTTACATAGTAGACAAACTTATGCCAATGAAATTAAAATCATAACAAAACTATATTTAATTAAAAATCATCAGAATATACACTTCAATAAATTTTTATACCAATATATATTAGATTTAAATATGTAGTAATGAAGTTCATTAATATATAATTAGTTTTAATTCTGAAAGAAGAAATTCTTTGCTATTAAAACATGGGTAAAACCACAATCTAAAAGATATGGTCTGAACAGTTTAGCCTGGACAGCATTTGCAAGCATTCCACTTGCGGTTAATTTCTTCAGATCTTAAAAATCATTAATTCGAAGAAATTTCTGCATATAACATAAATTTGTAAGATCATTTTTATTATTTGATTAAATAAGGGATTAAAAAGTTTTGAATCATAAGGTACATAAATTTTTAACTCATTTAGAACTACATAATTTCAAATGGTAGATACAAACTTTAAGATAGTTCAGCCAAATAGCTTCTGATTAATAAAATCATAAAATTTCATTTCTCAAAAACTATTAGACTGATTACATTTACATTTTGAATTAATTTAATTTAAAAATAAAGTTTGTACAATTTTATATGTAAAAACTGTTGTAATTTACAATATAAAATTTTTCATAATTGTCAAATTAATTAAAAATGTTTAAAAAAAATTATTTTTTAAGCAAAATTATGCTTCAGAAATCAAGTGTCATATATGTGCCAAAATTCTTTTTTATTTACTTACAAGCACTACCCTACAATAATGAAAGAGATATTCTGAGTTTTTGATATTCTCTCAAATACTTTGAAATATATTTTATAATTTTAAAAGTGTTTATGTCAGGTGATTTCTCATACTCATCAATAAGGTTTAAAGATTTCAGATGTTACGATTGAAAAAAGTGTTTTTGAACACTTTTTGCCAGAAAATATAGCAAGAAGATTGCAACTTACATTGATTAGTTTGGTTAATATATGCAATAACTGCATAAAAGTTCCTAAATCTAGTTTAAATATATTTTATGAAAATATCAACATTTTTGAGAAAAACTGATTTTTTTTTTGGCTTACGTTTCTTTATTAAAAATTTAAATATATTCAATAAAATAAAATAAAAATTTAATTAATAGGAAAAATATAATTTTAAAGTTTGAAAAAAAAAACATTAAGTTGGAAAAAAACAAAACAAAATTATGTCATTTCATACTGCACAAGCATGAAAAATATTTTTAAAAACTTTTTCACAAATTTGTAGTGAATCGTAATTGGTAACTTATGAAAAAAATTCAATATGAATATAAGAAGTATCTAGCAATTTTCAAAATAATGTTTTATAAATTTTGAAAACTCTGAATGACAAGGGATCATTCACAAATTTTATTCTGTATTTTTAAACATAATTTAATAACAAATGATAATACCTTAGAATAGTTGACCAAACAATAAAATAAAATGGTATAAGAAAAGAAAACATGTGAAATAAAACCAGGGTTGGCTTTTTGCCGGCAGAAACTGGTTTTTGCCATGCCAGTGGTACAAACTGGTTATAACCGGTAAAAACCGGCAAAAACTGAAAAAAAACTAAAAAAAACTTCTATATTAGTTCTAGTAATTGCTTAATGACATTTTGCTTAAGTAAACTGAAAAATTTAACTCCATGTAACTGTAACAAGCTTTTTAATTTATTGTTTGTAAATATATATTATTTTGTTTATATTAAATATAAAGAGTGCAGTATATCAAATATTTATATAAAATGACGAATAAAGTAATGTAATAATAAATATAAATACTAGATTTTCGTTTATTATATTAAATTCTGAAATTCAGTAATTATCATTTAACTCTTAACATAACTGAATAGAGCTATTTTCAAATAGTTTTTTTCCTTTCAAGACATAATTTGCATGGCAACAATCCAACTATTATAACAGTAACAGTTTGAATCTTTTGTGGATGGCAATGCCTGCTGGTTCTGCTGGATTTGAGAGAATCTTCTCAAATTTCTTGTTCGTGAAGAGCAAATTGAGAAATTGTTTAGGTTTAGGAACTGCATCAAAACTTGTTTCTTGTTACATATTATTGCAGAGTGCAAACAATGTAATATTTGATTTTGAATGGTGATAATTTTGTAAATAAATTGTACTTTGTTTAACATTTAATTGTTTTTTCTATTAATTATCCATTATATGTCAATCTCAGTACTTACTTTTATGTCATTTTCTGAATTTCTGCCACAAAAGTGGCAGAAAAGGGGTTTTGCCATGCCGGTTTTAACCGGTTTCTACCAGTGGTTTTAACCACCTCGGCAGAAACTTGCCAACCTTGAATAAAACATACTTTAATAGGGCATGATCTCCAATAATGCAAATAAAAGTGATGTGAATTATAAATACAGACCAAAACAATTATTTCCTCTTAGCTTAAATGACTAAGACAAACATTATAAATTATCATTCAAATCTCAAATATAGTTTAGGTAGAGGAGTGTGTGAAATGATGTTCTTGGCATTTGCCAGGATCAAACCAGGAACCTTTGATTCCACAGCTTGATGCTTTAATTGTCACAGAAAAGAGTGTATAGTGACAAACAGGGTCAATTAGGAAGCTTTATATAGTTGTCATGACACTCCCTTCTTTGGTGAACGTGTAAGTCTGACTGTTGTGAGTGTTTCACATGATTGAGAGACTGTGAGTAAAGGCACTATTCCAGTGTAGTTCGGGCCATGATGTTTTTTGAAACGTACTATTCGCTTGTTGTGTAAAAGCAAATGATGGAATGGATTAGAGATCTGTAGTGATACTATTTGTAAAAGAATGAAATATTTGTATGTTCATCGTTCATGGTTCCCAATATGGAGAAGTGTGTGATGTTTTCAGCACCAAGTACATTTGCATCCTCCTAGTGGAACCACTTGGGAGTTTTCTACAGCATTCATTACATTTGTGAATTTCTTTTTAAAGTGTTCAATAAATTCATCAATTATATTTTTCTTGTTTGAAAACTGTATTTTCTCCCTTTGTGAAGTTTTGTAAGAGTTGATTTATTTTTGAGTGAAAATGAGCAGTATTTCCATTCTTCTTGATTTTATTTTTGCTTGGATTCCAGTTTTCTGGATGCATAATTCTAAGCAAAAATAGGTTGTTCGTAAGCAGATTAACATGATATGCTTACAATAGAAATTTAAAATTTTAAAGGAAGTGAACAGAAAATTTGCAACGAAAACCACAAATTGCTTAAAATATTCAAAATATTTGAAAGCACTTTGCTCACAGTAATTTAAAAATGCGATGTAATTTTGGAGACAGAAGAACAAGATGTTTCAAATTTACGCCACTCTAGTGAAAGAAAACTTCAAAATTTAGAAAAAGATCTGAATGATTTTATAACCTTTATGTATTATATTAATACTTGTACTTGGACGTAAAAAAACTGCATTAATGTCAATTATTCCATCAGTTTCATAATTCCTTTCAATGTATAGCATGTTTTTCTCAAAATAAGTCCAATATTTATGAATCTTAGGTAAATATTTGCTCTAGATTTGTATCTTCACAATATATCAAAAGGTTTTACTGTTGATTTGTGTTTTCACTACAAAGGTCATTACATTAAGCGTCAACTGTATAAAAAAATTTAAAAAATATTAAGTATAAACATTAGGAAGAAGCATATGCTTAAATAAGTAATGTCAATAATATTTATTTTGCTTTTCTCTTTCGAATTTCTTTTGTGTTAGTTTTAGACCTTTATTTGTCAAATTAAATCGGACTTGAGCATAAAAAAAATCTTATCTAGCCCTCCAGAATAATGAAGAAAGAATAAAAACACATGTTTAGATGTTTTAATCCATCTTATTATCCATTGAGGGTTAATATGTTTCATAGATAGGTTATCAACAAAAAAATAAATGCAGATAATATGAAAGGCTTTTCTTCAGCAAATGCAAATGATGAAAGGTGAAGTAATTTTAATGAGATAACAAATTATTTTTTAAGTTTAGCAATAACAACTGCTTGAAAATAAAAAAAATTGATTAAAAAAATACACATTAAGTATAATAGTGAGCTTTACATATTATATCACTTTTTATGTCAGTTCTTTTTAATACTCCTAGTCATGGGCGGATCGTGAATTTGTGGGGCCCTGGGCTGAAACTACTTAGGGGCCCTAATAGCCATTTTGTCAAAAAAAAAACTGTTTTCTGTAGTGATGTAGATAAGCATATAGAAAAAAATAGGACAATAAAATAATTTTATTTATTTATTTTTATTTGTGTATACAAACAGCAACTGTACAACATTATTGCAAAAGAAATTGACAGGTTATGTGTAGTTATGTTGTATAAATTATAAAGCAACCTTTCTGCATTTTCGTGCTGCAAATTCCTTTATTTGCTCATCACATTGTAAGTCCTTCGTTAAATCAGAATTTATGAAAAGAGTTGATAAATGATTTAGTCGATGGTTTGACAATGTTGTCCTATATTTGTTTTCTATATATGACATCCTGGAGAAAGAGCGCTCCGCTTCACTGCTAGTGATTGGCAAAGTTAAAAAAATCCTTAAGATAGTATAGCAATTTGGAAAACATCAACAAGTTTCTTTTCTTAAATTAGCATAAAAATTTCACTGCAAGAGGTGTAAGACTGGCTTAGGCTGAAGTAAATAAGATTTTAATTGAATGCACTCATTCATTAAATGCTCGTCTACGTGTTCTGGATAATAATAAAAAATATTACGTACACGATCTATGTTTTCCATATTTTCGTCTTGCAAATCCATTAAAAATTTGAATTTCTTGCTATACATCTCATAGACTTGGCTCCTTTTATTTAAATCCATAATCAGCTTATCCAACACAACGTTTAGAGTGTCTCTTTTAAATTTTTCTGCGCCGTATACTGAGAATTTA